TGCTTGTTCTGTGTTCAAATCATCGCCCGCACGCTCCAAATCTTTGCAAATAGGGGGAAGCCAGAGGACAGGTGCGCGATAAAAACTGCCCAACATAGGAAATAATAAGAAAACACACCTTTCGTAGCCCACGTACATTATTCTTTACGTTTCGAACGTTTTTTTTAACCGCTCGTAGAGATGCACGACGGGGTCATTTCCATATAGTGAGAGGACAGGCATATTAGCAATATATAAGCACCAACGGAATGCTGGCGAACTTTGAACACACTCTACATTCCTTTCAATCGTTATTTTGCTTAGAATCGTCGCTCGTTTCTACATACCTGCCATGGAACAGAGGTTTGGGCCTGAAATATAGCGAAGTTTAACATCGTTCAGTGGTAAAGGAAAAATGCTGTAACTAAAGCAATTACACTTTCACAATATTAATAAAGGTACATACTACCCGGTACAACCGAAATAACAAAAGTTATTAATGTTTTTTTTCCGGCGACGAGACAAAATTCACGCGCGTTTTCCCATAGGAATACATAGGAAGACTGGAAAAGTAGACTGCATGCTGTCTGCTTCAATTTGCAACCGGAAGTCCCATAGACACTAGCGCCAGCTGAGCCTCTAGCGTTTATTGTAATAACTCTATGGAGGAAATGCACTCCGGCAAAAGGCCAAAACACGCTTTATGGATGGATGGATGGATGGCAGAGCCGTATATGTAAAGAGTTTGGTCAATGGGAGGTGCGGGCAGAGCCAGGGCGTGTGGCAGACTCGGAAAGAGGGCTTGGCATGCTCTCTTGACCAACCAGAAGCCGAAAAGAATCCCCTAGCAGTGGTGGCGACAAACAGTTCTGATCAAAGGTCTATATTCGTTAATGGTATTAATAAGCGCGTAAGAGTGAAAGGTAGTAAGTCTTTGTGGTTGAAAATAGGGTGCAAGCAGAAAGATGTAAGAAACGAATGCGCCGCGCAACTCTGTTTAGCGTGGACAGAGTGTGACCGTTCGGACGGCAGATTCCCGGCCATCGGCGCTTGGCGTACGGATTATGTCGATCGTTCCGCCAGTCGCACTCTTACAGCATCATTTTGGACGAACGTGATTGAAACATCACGTGTACCATATTTTCAGCCATTGAGAGTTACTCCAATGCAGTTATCAGGTTTGTTTCTGGCGACCACCGCCAGGGTATTATTTCGAGCTTCTGGTTGGTCACATTCAAATTTCTGAAGACGCCCTGGAACACACCCAGCCCGCTTTCGGCCAATGACGCCTCCTCATTTGTCTCCTATACTTCCCAACAAATGGCCAAACTCTCTACATATACGGCTCTGATGGATGGATGAATACGGCTGAGCCCTTTGGATCGGGCGGTAGCTTACGCCACCTAGCCATTTTGTTTTACCATTTAAGCTTAGAATATTTAAATGTGAAATCTATATTCACTCCGCAGTGCAAAGAAAGTGAGGCTATGAAACCCCCTTGCCATCAGTGGATAAGAAAATGCCTAGTTTTCTCTCGATTTCTTATTTGCGCGACCTCTCCTGCCCTCCAGTGTTGAAAATTGAAACTAAAGCCGATCGACGAACCTGTCTCGTGTTTGGCAGTGAAAGCAAACCATCGTTTTGACTGGACGAGTGTGACTCGTCATTGGCGATATCGGTACAACCTTCCATGACGAGTACAGCTCGGGCCGGGTGGTTAAAGGGTTAACATTTACCTACATCAGCTCACTTGCCCCGTCGTATTTTGTTCGAAAAAGCTCTCGTTCTCGACGCCCTCACCAAGGCTAATATCTAATCCGCCTATAATGACGATCCAAATCGAAAGTCCCAGTTTTGCTGGATATTTCAACAGGCTAGTTTTAAGTAGGGATGTCGCGAACCACCCTAGGTTCGATTTCGAAAGGTTTCGATATTTGCGAAGTGAACTGAGGTTCGATTTCGAAAAATTTCGATATTTTCGTACCGACCGAGGTTCGAATTCGAAAAAATTCGCAACTTTTGACCACAGCGGAGTTTCGAATTCGAAAATTTCGAAGCTTTCACGGTTTCTCAAATTTCGAATTCGAATATTTCGAATATTTCTTTCCTTCAGGTTCAATAAATTCGAAGATTTCGAAATTCTTTGGAAAAAAAAATTCGAAAACTTCGAACACTTCGAATTTTTATAGACATGAAGTTCGAACAATTCGAAGATTTCGAATTTCTTTATGCATAAAGTTCGAAAAGTTCGAAGGTTTCGATCCTCTTTTAACGCTAAATTAAAAAAAAAAAGAAGAAAACTTTGAAGATTTTGAATTTCTTTCTCATCCAAGTTTTCGAAGTTCGAAGTCTGATTTTCAAGTTTTTCCACAGTTTCAGTTTCAAATAACGTTTTCACGACTCACTGGTTTTCACAAAATCAAGTTTAGAAAAGTTAGGGTAAGATATCTAGATTCTGCGAAGTTGCTCAGGCAATTGAATGAGACGACGAGTGTCCCGGACGTGCTAGAATATTTATCAGTGCAGAATTGTGACCGCCAGCCCCCGGGGGGGGGGGGGGGGGGGGGGGGGGGGGTCTTAATCACGCAGTAGTGATTGCATGAACACACTGTTTTACGAGACTCATCCAGTTCGAAACGGCCAGGGGTGAGCAGGAGGTTGAGGCTCAGAAAAACCTTGAAGCGACCTGGCAAACTACCTCGCCACCCCTTGCACGCTGGTAGTAATCCGATCCGGTGAAGTTTGTAATTGTCCTGGAGGTTTATTTTCTGGGAAGGAGGAATTGCCTCGCAAAAAGCACAAAAGCCGACACAACTCGAGGTCGAGGAGCGTTCTACCATACAAGTGGCGTCGGAAGAGGAAAAACGGGGGGAAAGAGGGTAGCGGGGGGAAGGGGGGCTTCACCTCTTTCTCCCCCTTGCAGGTATTTCGGACTGTTAAAGAAAACAATACGGGGAAAGACGGCGTGGTCGAGCTTATTTTCATCTGAAATTATTTATGCATATGTATAGCTACTGTCGCTCTTCACTGCATAAAAGGTTGCGTAGATGGTCATTGTTAGAAACTCGTTGTCAGAAGGCACTACTCGTCACATGCTCAGTGGTTCGGAAGTTCAAAGCTGTCTTTTCGACCTAAATACCTGTGCCGATAGTAAGAAAAAAAAAAAAAAAGAATAAATGCGGAAATAAAAAGCAGGAGGAAAAAAAAACTATCAAGAATTCGTCAGAAGTGTTCTATTCTTGCATATTCAGAGGTGCAGAACTTCGAAACAAGTTTCTTTTACCAAAATGCGTACAGGCTAAAAGAAACACGTCCCAGGAACGTGAAGTGAAAAAAAAAAAGCTTTCTTTTAATGACGTGCTGAACTTGAACACTATTAGAAATCTTCTCCCATGAGTTAATTTATTCCTTAACGTGAAAAAACAAATATATTATTTTGTATTGTGCAGATAGCAATGATATGTACTGTCTGTGGTGTTAATTTAAATGCGATACCTCAAACAACTTAGACGAAAATAAATATCAAGTTTAGGTCATAATTTTGCATGCAGATACATGTTTGACATTTCTTCGAAACTCACGTTGAATAACAATAATCACATCTTAGACGGCACTTACCTAGGCTATACATAGATCATTCTTAAAAAAAAGTGTAACATATCTATCATAAATAGCTCCGGCTGCAGCGTGCTTCAAATCTGGCACAAACGATAATCGTCAAAAACCCGTTGTCCTTCCTCGCCCCTTCGGGGATTTATTTCTTTAAACCTAAGCATGCCAGAACATTGAAATTAAACGACATTGTTTTTCGTAAGGAACGCAGCACCGCGTGTAAAAGTTCGAGAAAAAAAAAATTACGAATGTACCCCACTACTTGAAATCAAATGAAACCGTCCGCCGGTCTTTCGAAGTTCGACGAACGTCGAACTTTTACCCTAAAAGTTTGAAGTTCGTCGAACTTCTGACTTTTCAGAATTCGAAACTTTTCGATTTCTCTTGATAAATAAGTTCGAAAGTTCGAAATTCATCGAATTTTTTGGTCAGTAAAGTTCGAAAGTTCGACAAGCATCGAACCTTGCAGCGCAATAAGTTCGAAAGTTCGAAAAAGATCGATTTTTTAGCGTAATAAGTTCGACGGTTCGAAAAGCGTCGAACTTCTTAGCCTAACAAGTTCGAAAATTCGACCTCCGTCGAATTTTACGATATAGACAATTCGAAAAATCGAAATATTTCGAACCTTTCGAACCGCTTGATTCGATCATCGAAACTTCGATTCGAAAAAAGTTCGCGGTATCCTTAAGCCGTACACTTTCAGAGGTTCACGCATAATACCATGCTCAAACGGATCAGGTTTCTGCTCGGACAGCATCATCAGTTTTCTTCAGTGTAAACGGTTATAATTGAAAGATCACAACCAGCTGCTTTGTAGACAGCTGGTTGCGGAAATTTACACTTCTGTAATGATCTCTACGGCAGCCTAGCTCCTTGAAGTCAGTTGCAGCGACCAACGTTTGTAAGTAAACGTTGGTAGCGATGGCATTCTCGCATTCCCACGCATCACTCTGAACAGAAAGGCTCTAGTTTTGGTTTGAAGTCGGTACCCTTTCTACAACATAAATGGCGGCAGCATCAGTCTTGTGCACTCGGTGCATTTGGCGAGTTCGTTTGAGTGTTCTCCGTGCAACACTCTGCGAGTGCGATGCATTTTGGGGGAGAACTCGAACGGTGCCAGTGCGTGTGAAACGAACGGCCCGTGACCACGGAAAAGAGTGAGCGAGACTCAAACCGGCCAGTTCTCGATCGGCGGTTTTCGGGCGGGAAGAAAACGAATTTTGAGCCGCAAATTCTGTTCTGGCTGGGTAGTTGGGCTCTCGTATGTCACGTACGACTAAAAACCTCGGGGAGTATAAATACAATGACAGTGTCCCTTTAAAGGCATTTCCTGTTAATCTGCCCAATTTGTAGCTTGCAAATAGAGAAAGAACAAGACAGTTGAAGGAAATCTTGTCAGACATCAGCAGTTTGAAATGATAAGCAATATTTATTTCGAAAAACCGGATGGGCTATACAGAATTTGATAATGGTGGTATCTTGCGCAGAAATATGACTTGAACATGTATCAGGCAAGACTCAAAAACAGCTGCAGGCTAACCTGAATACTGAAAAACAATACATCAAAAGTAAATAAGCATTATGTACTTCTCAACAAAAAAACGAGTCATTTACAAAATGAAAGCTGTACAAAACTCTTGTCTCTCCCTTCACTTGAGAAAATAAGATGTGAATGCCGCAAAGTTCAGTAACGCCTCCATGGTGCCCTCAAAGCAGACATCGTCGTTGACTTCGTACACTTCGGAAAAAACAGCCGTCCTTCTCTCGGAGAACAGTGTGCACTTGGAAGTGCCCGACCTGAAGTAAAATCGCTTGATGCACCCAATCTCCTCTAACATCCTGAGCACGTCCAAAGTCTGGATGCACGGTCCAATATGCTTCGCAAATGAGGTCCGCATGGACTCTTCCGTAATGCCAGGATTGTCCATAACGAACGACAGCACAGCAGACATGTATTTGTGGAGCAGCGCTCGGTTGAGCGTGCCGTCGGGCTTCTTCCACAGTCGCGGAATGTACATGATCTTCTCCAACTTTTCCATGTTTATGTTGCGAGACATCGCTTCAATGCATGTGCGATTAAAGACAGCTCCTCGTGTTGCTGGTCGCTGTCCTGGAGAAGTCTGCTGCGTTTTCTTGGGTTCCGTCACTGTCACAGCACTGTTGGGATCATCTTTAACTTTGAGCACAGAAGCTTCACCATTGTCTGGTTTCTGCATTGTATTTACAAAGTCACTCGATTTGACTTCATCAGCTGGAGACTTGGCATATGTAGACAGATCACAATTGTCGGCTGTGCTGTCGTCCACTTCCATTGCAGATACACCTGCTGGGCTCTCGTCAACCGACATAGGAGAGACTTCAGCTGTGTTTTCATCGACTACCATTGGGGAGGTGTCCACAGCAGACGGTTCCTCCATGGCTTCGTCCTCTGCTGAAGAGGAAGTCTTTCTTGCCTTGGCCTTTCGAGCCAGCTCTTGTTCACCGAGTGCAGTCGCAAGCGACCGCAAGTCTTTGGGGATCTTGACTGCTCGTACCATCCAAGGCTTGGCGTGAAGCAATGCAATGTACCGCACACAGGTCACTCCTGCTCGCACAATGGCCTTGCAACTCACCAACACATCCAAGTGGGACTCAAGAACTGCACTGGTTACATTCAAATGAAATGTTTCACACAGAGTGGTGAATGTGATGCCAAGCTCCTTCCTGTCGACTATCAGGGCATACAGCCCATGAGCAAAGTTTGCCTCAGCATCATTCTTTCCGTGATCCGCATAAGCTTTGCTAATGTCCTCTGCAGTCCACAAGAGCTCGCATGCGTTTGCTGCAAGAACTTCTCTTTGTTCTTGCACGAGCTTGTCGTAAACAGGACTTCGGATCTTGAGTTTGTATGACTTGTCAGTTGGTTCCTCGACGGTGCATCTGGCAAGAACATCACCGTCTGACAGGCCAAAGCTTATCTTGCACGGCTTAATAATGACATAGTCCTGGGGCCGCAGAGAGGTAAACTCTAAAGCCTTTGTCATGTCCTGCCTGAGCATGTAAAGGAAGCTCCGAGATGCTTTCGCATTGCTTCCAGAAGTTTCGATGTGTAGGTTACTAAGACTGTCACTGTATGAGCAACTACCTGCCAATGGGCTTTCACTGGGTGGACCCTTTGTGACAACCTTGCAAGGGTTTCCATTATCTTCACAAACTTTGCTGTCAAAGTCGACAATTGCCTGTGGAACATCAATGACATAGTCTACCTTCTTCATCATGATCAGCGTGATTAAAAGCACTGCATGTGGAGGATCGACAGCATCAACAGTTGTAAACTTCTCCCCAGAAGTCTGATTTTTAAATAGGGTAGTCAGTAACTGAGCCATATTCACAAAATTCTCTGGTGCAAAGCGTCGCATGAGCTCAAACTGGAACCGCCCTGACAGCGTGAAAGGCAGCATGGACATGTTGAGTGAGCTGAACTGCTTTTTGGCATGGCACTTCTTCCTGCAAATGACACTGTTGTGCCTAAGCCTTGCAGTCACTGATCGGATCAGCTTGTCTGGATAGAGCTCATAGATCCTATACAAGATCAGCGACCAACTTGTCTTCCCGTCATCAGCGCCAAAGGACGAGATGATGATGATGCCCACCGTGGTAAAGTGAATGTCTACAATATTGTGGGGTTCCTGGTACGACCAGCTGTCAGGCAAACACTGTCCGCTCACCAGGATGTTGTACTGATCCTTGAGCTCTTCTACTGTCTTTGGAAGGGCAATCGCACGGTGCCGCTCCTGAGGGCTTTTGCTGAACTTGATCATCAGGTGGTCCAGAACCGTTCTCAACATGTGGATCCACGCATCCTCCGCACTCTTCACTGGCTTGGGACCATAAAACATTTCTGTAAGCTTTTGGTCCTGCCGTGCCTCACAGAGGAACACGGAGGCATTGGCCTTTGTGGCTGGATTGAGCAGCATGAAGCGCAGCCGCCTTTGACAGGCACGGGACGTCTTGTCCTTGCTGAGCTCGGGAAAGTGCTCATGGAGAATATCCCTAACGGCCGTGAAGGGCACAACCATTTTAGGCTGGTGTGGGTCCAAGAACCAAGAGGCCACTTTACACATTAACAAGACTATGTCTTCTTGAGAGCTCCATGCAACACGCATGAATCGCATCTGCTTCAGGGCAGCCATGTCCTTGTCATCATAGTACGGTCTTCGTTTCTTAGCGCGCCCGCATCGTTTCAGCACTCTGAAGATGCTATGGGGCTTTCTCCTAAATAGAGTTCTTTTCTTGGCTTCCTCTGAAGCCTTACTCCTCTCTCTAGAGCCATTGATGACAACAGGAATGGCCACCGGATCTGTGCTTGGTGCTCCCGGCTTTGGATAGTACACAGACATGCGGGAAATGGTTGATCGGAGCCTTGAGAGCCTCTGTTTCTGTTTCTGCTTCCGTGCAGTACCGCCGTCGGTCTCCTTCCCAGTCTTATCCAGGTATTCAATGTAGTTCTCCAGCGGCTTTGACTTTTCCTTTTGTGACACGGTCATCAGTCCAGGTGTCTTCAAGACCACAGTGGTCGTGTAGTTCCAATTTCTTTTAAGGTGTGCAAAGAGTGCAGAATCAAAGCCGGCTGCACCTAGCTGGTCCCCTGGTATTGAACCGGTGTCCACTTCCTCACCAAACTCTCTGTTCTTGGATGCCTCAATCATTGCTGGCTTCTTGTAGAGGTTCTGCAGCTCAATTACCTGGCCGCGCATCGTCTGGGCTGTTCCCAAAGGAGTGCTGAGGCAGATGCCTTCTAAGTCAAACCAGAACCGGTTGACGTCCTCTTCAGTCTCAAGAAAGTAGTCTTTGAGAGGATACTCTGTGTCTGGTGAGATCTGGTGGTACCCCGGGGCCGAGCAGGCAGTGTCTTTGATGGTGATGCGCTTGTGAAGGAAAAGATACACTTGATCCTTTTCCTTGAGGCGCTGCGGTCCAAATGTGAGCAGCCCAACAAAGGACAGCCTCTTGATCGTTTCATGGATGGAGTATATGTAGCGCCTCGCGAAAAGCAAGGCGTTCCTGAGCTTAACAGGAAGGCTGCGTATCAGGTAGTGGCACCTCACATTGTGCTGCAGGTATTCGTCCAACCCTTCTATCTTGTACTTAATGCAGCTCACAATCTTGACAAAAAGGGAGAGCGGCAGCGAGAGCAAGATGTCACTGAAGAGGAGCCACCCCTTGGGTGTGCTCGGGTTTGCTGGGAGTGGAGCCACGAACGTCTTCCAACTGATGCCTTCCTGGTAGCGCATTGGAGCCGATGGATCGTCATCCAAGTGCCCTAGGGGTGCCCCATCATAAGTATACAGCATGTAGTGGATAAAGCTGTAGCACAGCTGCATCCGGCGGAACTTGGGCTGAGAGCCATAGAAGCGGCCCATCGAAGGGTTGTACTCCATCTTGGAGCACTCCGTAAGCTCGGGGCTTTTGGGAGCTTGAGGTTTATTGTTTTCGTTGTGTATGGCGAAATACTTGAACTTGGCTTGTTCGATGGTCGACCTGACCAGCTCGTCGTCTTTAGTGACATCGGGGTGGCAGATGAACTGCAAATTCTTCTCCTTTTCTCCCAACCGCAGAGTAGTCCGTATGGACTTCAGATAACCGCTCTTGCAGAGCTTGTAAAGCAGCCGCTCTAAAGAGACCTTGTCCAGCTTCAGCTTGTAGCCCTCTTCCAGCTCTTGCTTTTGCAGTGTCTTGAGAAGCCTTGTTAAATCGGCAACCAACTTTTCAGCCTTGACGTAGTCAATGATCCTGTTGGCCCTCATAAGCATTTTGTAAGAGGGGAGCAGCTCCTGCAGGGACTGCCTCTTGTTGATAATGCCGGAAGTGCTCGGGAAGCTCAACACCGTACAACCCTTTGTCTTTATTTTCTTAGAGAGTGGTTCGTTGCTGGCCTCCACTGTAATGGTGGGTTGGTCGCACTCTTCGCTCGGAACCTCGTCTCCAGTCCCTTGCTTCATTGGCGCGTTCTCCGAAGCAGGTGGCTTGACTTCAGAGATATCCGTCCTCTGAGACACCCGCTGCCTCTTAGCAGGGGGACATTTGCTCGCTTGCTCGAGCATTCGCTTCTTCTCTGCCGCAAACTTCTTGTGAGTCTCCGACTGCGATGCAAACTCCGGGGTGAAGTAGCGTGTCACTCTCTGACGGCCAACGTCTTCCCTGTACGGCACCACCAGTTTCCTGAAGAGAAGGGCTTTCAGGAGGGGACGAGCTTCCAGTCGTGTTGTTGACATGAGCTGCGCCAGTTCCCGAAGTGTCGCACCTTTCGTGCCGGCTCGCTGCAGTTCCCTGTAGGCCTGGTCTAGCCTTGGCAAGTCATAGATGTACTTGCGCGGGTCGTAGAACATTGCGATGCTCGACTGGCTCTCCATCTCTTCCCCGTCGTCGTCCCCTTCTGCTCCTTCAGCCTCTTCCTCTTCAAACGATTTGGTGAGCTCAATGACACGAAGGAGCTTCATTCCAGTGTTTTTGGTGTACCACTGCTTCTCCGGCGTGTCCGGGTAAAGTTCGTTGTAAGCCATCGTGTACTGCGTCACATACGGTACGGCGGCAGAGTTAATCAGCCTCTTGAAGACGGCGTTCTTGAGACCCATCTCCGCACGGACCTTCCGGAGGACCTCACGCTTCAGGGGCTTTGTGTCCAAAAGCGCGCACAGCTCCCTCGTCAGCATCTTGAACTTGGTCTGGACCTCGACGAAAAACCGGGGCAGGTGGAGCAAAAACCCAGTTCCGGACTGCTTGTGATCGGAGCGCTGGTAGTAGAGCTGCTTCGTGATGAGGTGCCGCTGAACGAGCTGCTTGCGCAGGAGGAACATGGACGCGTTGGTCAGCTGGAAAACCTTCATGTCCTGCTTGCCCTGCGTCGTTAGCCCCGCGTAGCGAGTGCGCCCGATGCGCTCGAGGACCGCGTACTTCACGTCGGAGAGGTCGAGGTCCTTCACCGAGTTGCAGGGTCCGATCAGCGCCCGTTCTCGGGTCGCCTGGTCTGCGACGATCACGAGCGAGTTTCCCCATTGCTTCACGACCGCTTCGAGAGTCAGTTTCGCCTTGCGGACCTTTTCGCTGACGTTGACGCGGCTGTCAAAGGTGGAGCACGAGCCTCGCTGTCCGTTCTTGTTCACCAGTTCCACGGGGTAGAGGTCCGGCGGCAGGACCTTCGGTTCGATCACATATCCTGAGTCCGGGTCGACGTGCTTGTACCGGTCGTAGAGCACCAGTTCCTGACGTGGCTCTTGGAGTCGGTAGAAATCTAGCCGTGCATCAGGGACGATGCTTCGCCAGATGAAGGCTTTCGACTTGTCGTCCAAAGCGAACGGGAACTTCGGTCGATCCTTGAGACGGATCCACAGGGCCTGTAAGGTGATGCCATCGAGGCCCTCCAGGGCTATCTCTTCGATGCAGGCGGCATAGAAGTCGTTGTCCGCCATCTGCAATTGGGCGAATGGGCTATTTTCCGATTCTAGCCATTTCAAACAAGATTCCGAGGACCTCCACTGCACCCGCGTGATTTACATGGAACGCGTCCATGATGGACCCTCGACCACAGCGTGCATTTGGTTCAATCGGGCGTCAAGCGCCGACCAAGCCATCGCAGAAGCCTATTTTAAGTGTTCCTAATTAAAGCTCAGATACTGTTTTATTTGTAAACAAATACATATAAAACGAATACATTTTACACCACTATGGTGCGCTCGTGACCACCAGCCGCTTCTCGACTCTCGCACCCAGCTCATCGTGCATGGTCTTAAGTTGGTGGTCGTCGCGGTGAATTTTGTGTTCCCCAAAATATCAAGCACCATTTGCGTTTGCTTTTAATACGCACCTCGGTGAGTCCTGCCAACGTTTCGAAAGTCTGTGGTTTAACTTGGTTTCGCGATGAATGAACCAGATTGTTTTAGACATCCCTCAATCAAAAGTGGCGTTTCCCATTGCATTGCTAGTAGACGCTTCCGTGAGTTTACTGAATGTTTGAGGCGGTATTAATGTACTAATGTTCCATAGTGATTCTTATAGTTTTCGTGGAGGAAGAGATTGCATCTAATTACGCTATTTTTGCAGCTCGGTAGCGTCTTATCGCGAGCGTTGTTATTGCAGTCTGAACTACTCCATGACACCTAGCATAGCGGCAGAATGCCAAACAAAAAAATGTAGGGATTATCGTAGCGTTTACTAATCAAATGTTGAAAACATTTGCGTGCGTAATGTACCGTTCGGAAAACGTACGCACGGACATCGGAGTGCTTTCGATGCGGCCGTGCCTTTGCGCCGGCTCCGTGATGTAAATATCCACTAAATCTTTATTGCTTTTTTTCCTCTTTTTCTTTTTTAGATGAGCTATGGGAGTCCCAGCATTCTTCAGATGGCTGAGCAAAAAATATCCCTCAATCGTCGTACACTGTGTGGAGGAAAAGGTGAGTTGCTACCTTTTGTTTTATTTTATGCGATATCTTCCCAGACTGATTTCACGGAGCTCAGCTTTGTCGACATCCGATGCGCTGCAGGGACCAAGGTCGCTTAAAAATGGCTGTTTATGTAAGCTTTTTTTTTTTTTTTTTGCTTCCTTATTATTATTAATTGCGAGAGGCATTGCAAAGTAACGAGTTCCATTGTATTGGTCACCTTTACAGCGAGGAAACCTTGCCTCTAAAAACTCCAGGCAATAGACTATTTCCATGAATCCCTGCATGCAACACGGCGCGCGTTGCACTCTGGGAGCTAGTTGGCCAGGGAGGAGAGTGGCATGGTTTCGATCGACTTGTCGACAAGAGATTATACACAGAGTGTGGACTATTAACGGCCGTCATCTCATGTTTTCTGGTCCTGAAGGCGTCATTCGTGGTCTCTAAACAAACCTAAATGGTCAGACCTCGAAGCTTTAGCACAAGCCTGAGACGTATAGACCGACACGCGGAGCTGCTCTGTTTACCAACATGGCTGGAAGGCCGCACATGCGCGGTAGCTATGTGGGCAAAAGCAGCCCGGCTTTCCATGTTTTCGCCATTGCGTTCTAAGGCGTGCGCTCGTTGTTGACGTCGTAGGGACACTTGTATCTTTATTTGTGCGTCATATTTCCTCATAATGTATGTCATATGCTATGCCCGACTATTTGAGCTCGCTGCCCGAGCCTGAACGGCAGCGGTATCGAAACAAACTATGTGTGGACGGCGTTGCCCACAAAGATCCGTACGCCGTAAACAAGTTTTTTTTTTTTTTGCCGTAAACAAGGCCTGCTGGACTTCCGACGTAAAGTTGCTGCCACGGAAGTCGATGGCTCACGTCGTCGTTTATTTAGTTTTTTGGCCAAGCCAGTTCACGGCCGACACGTTGCAGGCGTACAAGTCTCTCGAGGTCTACGATTACTTCGAGTCGGTTCCCGCACTGCCGGCGGGAGCAGCAGACTCGGGGTCTGCAGAAGTCTGTGTATTCATTGATTGATTAAATACAGACAGCGTCTTCAAGTCAAGGTATGATATTTTTCCTACCCTCATGACCACAAGGCATGACAAGCAGTCACGGTTTGTCCGTTCTGCAGTCTCGTCGGTAACAGGTTACAAGTAACGGCTTTGTTGGTAACGCGTTACTTTTTTGAGTAACGTAGTAACTTACTCGTTACGTTTTCTGCACAGTAGCGGGTAACATACCTAAGTTACTATTTCAAGTAACGGAGTTACGTTAGTCGTTACTACTTCCCAAGTCTTAACGAAATTACACTTAAATATTTTCCGTGTTTTAGGCGTCAAGCCATGTTTTTCTTTGCGTTTTCTCTCGTAAGTATTTAGGTGAAACCGTAAAAAGAGATAAAGTAATTATGTTCAGTTTCTGCATGAACATAATGTTTCTTGATATATGACCTATATCATCAAAACCGTAAAATGTGTTAAATTATAATTTAAAAAAGTAACGCAGAAATAACGTGCATTACTTTTTATCGGTAGCATTAATGCGTTCCTTTTATTTTTGGGTAACGTAGCTCAGTAACGCATACCTTTTATTTGCAAGTAACGAGTAACGTATTTCGTTACTTTCTTTCGGTAACGCCTACAACACTGCCATTCTCTCGCTGATCCCCTTCTGCTGGGTAGCACGGGCGTAGTGAGTCTCCGACGAGCGCTTGGCCAATGCTTTGTGCGCGAACACCATGGGAACAAAATCCGGGTGGTCTCGATCAGACAACGGTTTCCCTGCACATAAGCAAGCCTCGGGCGGAGATTGAAATTGAAGCCGCCCTTGCCTTCAAGAAAGTGTTTGCAGCGCAAACGGTCGTTCGTGTGAGGCGACCATTCTTTTCGATCCACAAATATTATCCACCTTCTGTGCCTTTCAGAGTCTGCCGGGAACTCGTGGAAGCTCACTCCGCTGCTTTTCTTGTACATTTCGGTGCAACACTTTGCGGAATGCGGAAATGCTCTGACGCCCATGCAAAACGTGCGCGCTTCTGCCCACACCCCCGGCTCCGGCGCAATGGGAGCGCCGCCGCAGCTCCGTGACGTCAAGCCCGCGTGTCGGTCTATAGCTTGTCTTAACACAAGCTTGTTGCATTTTTGTACTTGAGCCTTTTTGTTAGCGGTTCGAGGTATGTGGACGAGCCAGTGCTGGGAATCTCGACGCTGCGAAGCTGGGGGATCGTGCTTTTGAACGAATCAACGAGCTGTAGCAACCAATAAGTATGCATACATCGAGCTCGCGCTTTTACGTTAGTGTTGTTGATCAGGAAGTTAGTTTGTTTCGTGCGTCCATAGACAAAAGATAACTTTTTGCAATTACTGTTTTTCTTAATACGCCTGAGTATGCGAGGTAAAACTCGGAGGCGCCATTGAAAAGCTCAATTTGAACACACTTATCTCTTATCTGTACTGACCCGCAGCACTGCACGAAGCAAAGTCCCCATCCGCTTGCATTCCACTAATATTCAACATCGCGTATGCGCATAAAGTTATCCTCAATCATAGGTGTAGACTATGGGGGGGAGGGGGCTTGTGTTCCCCCCCCCCCTCCCGGGCCCAGGCCATGATCCTTACCGAGACGCTGTTTACGCGCCATGTGACGAGCTTGTATACTTGGTTCATACTTAGTATGCAACGCTGCCAAAGCTACTGGCGCGAGCACGTAACTTTCTTTATAGTTTCGTTCGCGCGAGCACGCATGCAAATGATCAACAAGATCAAGCCTCATGCTCGCGCCAGTGGCTTTAACAGCGTTGTACGCCAAGCATGAAACAGAGTATAGGGAGTATTCACTGGACGCCATATTTGTGGGTGCTGTTTAGAGCGCATGCTCAGAATGAGCTCACATCAATAGGCTGCTAAGACCGGCACTCTTGAGGGTGCAGAATGCACGTTGCAAAAGAACTGTGGAGGCTCGCCATCAGCACGCGCTCAGCATTCGCGCACACGGCTATGGCCACCAGGGAATACTCCCTGTAGTAGTGGCATGTAGACAAAATAATGCCCACGTTGCTTTTATTGACAAAATACTTGGGAAATGGAATCCCAGCGTGCTTTTGTTAGCCTCAATCTCCAGTTCTGGCGAGAAGGTAACGTGCAACACCCCCCTCCCCCCTCCCGCCCCCCGGGAAAATGGAAAGTCTACATTGCTGCATGCAATAGTATAGGCACATTCGCACATACAAACCGTTTTAAGAAAGCAAGTTGAGCACTTTTGTGAAAAATGTCGCACCGTTCGTCATAAGTGCGCCGGACGGATGCGGTGCGCCAAACGAACAAAATTATTCAAAGCGAATTTGACGGTTGCTAATGGCCATAATATTTGTTATGTGTTTACTTTCTTCCTGACTGAGTATGCCGAAATAATTTCAGACACACCATTCAGGCACAGATCTCGGGCTTCAGTAAAAGCTTGTCCAACAAGGCTTAGCGAGGAGTAGGGGACGCTTGCTATCTTGTGTCGTAGCTAGCCGATCACAGTGTTTGCGAAAACTTAAGCTTCTATCAGCATAAAATTTGAGTGGGAGATATATGATGACACGAGGAAGACATCATAGTAACTTTTGTGCAGTAGTGAGGTCAAATTTACTGCGTTTCCTGAAAAGTTCATGCGTCAACGCTGGGCTCAACGTTATACTCCTGTGAGGATGCGGCTTGCTTTTCGCCCAATGAAGTAACAAGAAGCGGACGTTTGGCAAACAAAATACGTGCAAGGCTCAAAGTGACAAATTTTCAGATGTAGTTCACTGGTACTAGACGGGATTATTGAAATTGAGCTCAAAGATGCACTTGTGGCGTGAGGTGACTAAGCCACGCCATACTAAGTTTGCATACGCACGCACAATATCCGGTGTTTTGGGAACGAAGGAAAGTGCCCTGGTCTTTGTTTTGTATTGCTCGAGAATGAGTGTACTGTGCATTCGGAAAAAGTCAGATAATCGAAAACGCAAGCAGCGCGTTCGGTTGCGGCGTGATAGCATGGGATGAAGCTGCTCAGTCGAAACTGAAACTGTGTGGACAACTAGTTCCCAGAGTGCACTGCGTGGTATTTCGCCGCGATGGGGCGCGTTGGTTTTGGAAGAAGTCCATTGTAGTTAATTTGTGTTATTGCTATGGTTCGTAGTTTCTTCCATTGATGCAGGGTCTGATTCAGTAAACCACTTCAGTTCGTCTTTAAGTTGTTGGCCTCAATTTAAAAATAGCTCACTATGCTTGAATTGCCAGTCGAGGTACAGAATGTTTTAATTCTGTGTTTATATTAGATGAAAGATAGGGAGGGACTCTAACCAAACGTTTAATAAAAAACAGTCTGGCTTTACTAAACCAAAAGTTGAATACATGAAACTTTTGGTTAGGTTCCCTATTTGTCGTCTAATGTCTATTCCTAACCAGGCAGAGATCTGCCGAATGTTTATCTTCAAGTGTTTTCATATTTCTTGAGGCCCTTTCTTTGAATGTCTTCAAATTCTATAGAGTCACAACATCAGATGGATCCAAAATTATTGTGTGAGCCCAAAACCTAAGAATTTGAGCTCGGAATAATTTAAAAGCTCAGGGTTTTAACTAAAACTCTGAAAACCGTCCACAAATTTCTCTCCAAAATAAACTCGGAAAATGCAGAACCCTCCCTCTATTCATATAAAACTAAACGCTGAAGGGGTATTTCCGTTTTCGGTGCCCCATCTGATTTTCCCATCAACCTAACAAAATGACTGCCCACATCTTTGTTTCATGCTGCACGAATACCCCCTCCCCCCCTTTTTGAAAAGGAAAAAAAATAAGATATTCCTGGCTATGTGCTAGTAACTAGAAGACCTAATTGTTGCTTACCGGGGCTACTGTCAGGCCTGTAAAGTCTCCAGCAACTGTAAAACTTGTATGTGCCAATACCAAGTCCTGTGCTAGGCTTTCTCAATTATGCGATTGGAGGCAGTTTATCACACTTTCATGTAAATTAATTTGCAGCGAGTTCAAGGACTTTTGACAGGGCAGTTATGTGTGCCTTTGTTCTTATGAAGACATGACCCATCAAGGCCCAACAATCATAGAAAATGTTGAGAACTGAAGTGCCCTTTCCCTCTATTTTCCTCGGTCACATCCAAAGTATCCGTTTAACTTAGGATATCCGAGCTGTCATGGCACGACCATTATTTTGAGTTGGAACTCACGAAGGCGAAGTTTTGTGGTCATGGAAACCCCAAAAGTGCACCGATATTGAAGAAACATTGAGCGCATCACAGGGAAGTGAGTGACTCCTCGCAACTCCCAAGATACGGTGCCTGGAATGTGCCTTTGACTTGTGTGTTTAGCGTCTAATTCACTCCTTCTCGCGCGAGTTGGAACGTGTTGGCGCATGTGTGCAAGTAGCCCCCAATCACTTCCGATTTTGAGCCAGACGGCAGGTTTCGCAGTATTTCTGGAAATGGCCACCTATAGCACGGTCAGACTTAATTCACTCTTACGATAAAGGATGATGTGTGGAAATAGATGTGAACCGGAAGTGTGCCGGGGCTACCCAATAGATGGCGTCGCCGAGTCGTTGCCAAACGAATAAGGCCGAGAACCACCCGTGCATCCAAAGGGGTCCCGAACTGGTGGCAAATTACATTGCGCAAGCTGTCAATGTCACGCCGTAAGTTGTTGCAATCTTGGGAGTACGTTGTAGAAGTTCCGACAAGGAGGACGAGCGTGCACATGCGTCGCTGTTGTCATGGCTGCCAAAGCTTCCGCAAACCGTCACGCTCGGGAGCGACCTGCGTCACAGCAGGCGTCTGCCGCATACACCACTGCTGCCGCACCACTGCCAGTATCGTGGCAGGCGACGGCATTACACGATTGCGACGTCGTCGGGCAAAGGTCTAGGAAACACAAACGAGGATGCGCTAGTCGCGGCAGTTGAAGACACGTTTCAGGCACCATACTTGAGGTCCGATTTTTATTCGAAGTGGGAGCTAGAGCGTTCTTGGCCGCCGATCGGACACGGTGCCACAGCCTGCGCATAATCAACCTAAGAGACGTTTCCGAGCCGTTCGCGGGCTTACGATCGGGCAAAAATCTGGCGAGAATGTTTCGTCAACATACCAATGTGGAGCGCAAGTTTGTCTGCTTCTTTTGAAGGTGTTGTGGTGACGTCAGAAAGCCGAGCTTTGTTTGGCTCTGACGGAAGGATAGTGGGTAGACCTCAAGGCAGCTTGCTTCGAGGGCTACCGACTATCCTTCAATCAGAGATCAGTGTCTCTCTGGCATCACCACAGCCTCTACAAAAGAAACAGGGAAACTTGTGCTCCGCATAGCGAGAGAGGTCTGCCGGTCGACGTCGCCTTGTATGGCACAGCAGGACAACCTCGGACTTGCAAACAAAGCGCAAGTTGTTAGTTTTAACGTGAAATAGCGGACAACCACAATCACAGCCTGCATTTAATCTCACTTCGCCGCGGTGCTCGTTTCGTTGCGGACTATCGACTTTTCTCCTGGCCGACTAATAGACGACATACGGCGTTTTCTTGTTTCATTTTCGTCCACAAATGGCACTTCGTAGCAGATGAACTACATTCTTCGCTCGCGTTAGCGGACAAACCGTCTAAAAAAGCTATCTTTGCACGCTCCGCGAGATGCAAATTAGACCTCGCTCTCGCAATGACCAAAGTCAAACCCCTGAACTATTTGATATCTTTCACGTTTCTCCAAGTTGGTTTCATTTTGTTTGGTTTTATCCGCAAGTATGTTACTCCACAGTAAGAAAGTTTCTGGATGGTGTTTTGACAAATGGCGTAGTTCTTTGCGTGAAAAGAATAATTGTTTGTTTGCGGTGTCAAGGCTGGTTTTTCATATTTGCCTTTGAGCGTGTCCAACTGCAGTCCTGGAACACTTACGATCCGAGTATAACTAGACCCACGGTGAATCAATGGCGCTTAAAAAATGATAAAGATATATACTATGCAAATTAATAGTGTTCTCTGATAGAGGGTGTCAGTATGCCCCTATGTTTACTTGTTGTAACCAGTTACGCAGAACGGTGTTCACACAAAGGCAACTGCATGAAACAGCCTTAAAGGGGCACTCATGTGGAACCTGAAATCTTCTGTTTATGGTGATAACTCAACCTAAGCCCTTGAAGCTCCCTAAAAAAACACGAAATTACACTCATGGGCGGCCGATTTCCCAAATGAAATTGTTACCAAAGATTGTGAAACGTTCCTCTTTCTTCACTTTCGCAGATGGCGTTTTCGATCAATAATTGCTGTATTACTGTACTTCTACACCCAAAGCTTTTGTTCAAACATATGGCACAAACTGCCTAAAAAGAGCAATACAGTGATATCTCGTTAATATGGACGCCTGTGTTCCCGTAAAAAATTGTCCATAATGTGAGTAGTCCATAATAATGAGTCAAAAATGCATGTATTTTCCCAGTTTGTCCCCGAAAGTGGTGTTCACAAAAGAGGGGTATCCATATTAATGGGGTCCATATTAACGAGACATGACTGTAATAGTACAGCTTGGAATCTTTACGCAATTAACTATTTTCATTGGTCAAATGGACCTGAGGGAATATTGCCCATGTGTTTCTATTACCAGGACGTCTACTAGCAGGAAGTCTTGCCATCTTGAACTGGTCAATTTTATTTGCTGAACGGCAACAAACAATATGACATCAAAATCAGGCTTCTACAAAAAGCGCTAGAGTGCCGCCTTGAGTGACGTGCTTGCCCTCGCCTCCTCGCAAAACAGCCGCAGGTGGTTGACGGCGTCAAGGTGCCGGTGGACATGACGAAACCTAACCCCAACGACGTGGAGTTCGACAACCTGTATCTGGACATGAACGGCATCATCCACCCCTGCTGTCACCCCGAAAACAAGTGGGTCTTGCTTTTGTTTCGAAGTTTTGCTGCGGACGTACCCAAACGTTTCCATCTCGAGGAATGCCGCGAGTTCGCGCGCCAAGAACGCCTTCGCATAGTTCCGTACGTACGCGAAGCGCCTTCGGGCGCACTGTCAACGTTAGCCAAGGCTATGGCGGGTAGCAGGCCCACACTGAAGCGTGACGCCTCGTGAACACTGCCTATACATATAAAAGTAAAAGCAACGATAAGATAGAAATATGAGATTAGTACGAAACATCATTTAACAAATTAGTGATTGCTATTCTAAAATCAGCGGCGTTAGTAACTATAACTGTCAAATAGCAGGTGCTCTGAGCACGCTGACGGAGTGCCTCGAGCGATCCCAAGAAGTTCTTAGCGCCACCTTTTTTGGACGAGTTTGATCCATAGTCGCTCTCAACATTTCAATATTTACACTAGCGACGTTATTGCAGCCAACTAAGCGATTGTGCCAGCAGCGCTTCACGATAGAAAGTTACGCGAATATCGGAGGGATGCAGTGCTGTTACGGGCCTCGTTACGAGCCGTTCGAAGGTCGGCGAAGCAATACGTTACGATGCAGTGCCGGCATGTTGGAAGGTCCCTCCGACCGGCCGGAGTTACTATCAAGTTTAAAAAGTCATTTTTACTTGGGGGTTACGCCTATTAATCTGTGGGAAGGGTACGCCAGTCGGCTTCCTTAGGAGCTAAGGTAGTTCACCCTAAAGTGCCTTGGACGAGCTGAGCTGGTCGGCCACTTTCTGTCTAAAAATGCCATGGACGAGCTCAGCTCGTCCAGTGCTTTATTCGGTAGTCCTCAATTCCACAGATGAGCTAGGCTTGTCCGAGTAGCTTTGCGGCGCGAATCATAGATGGGAGCACTCGTTTTAGTTGGCACATTTTTTTTGCCTCCGCTGATTTTTGCATAATAATTTTTTCAAATTTTATGTGTAATACTAGAGGAATAAAATATGACACTTTTAGGTTACTTTAGGAAAAAAAAAGTGGCACTTAAGGGGTTAATGTATGCTGCGCTGGTCCAGCTTGATGGCCTTTCGTTTTGTACGCTGGGCTGGCGAGGCGTTGGTCGGCAGTGGGGGTGAAGAGGACAGCAGGAACAGCAGCGTAACGGTGGTAGGAGCGCGGCGAAAATGCCAGCGAGTGCCAGGCACGTGCAGCTAAAGTCAATGCGCCCCTTAGAGTTGTCGCTCAGCCGCTCCACCACCGAGACTGGATGCTCCGAATTCTAAATCTGCGATCGCTCGCTTTTCGTAAGGGGAAGGAGCTTTATGACTGCGGGAAGGCGATTCCCATTGACGTAGGTTTGGTGGGCAGAAAGGAGGCACTAAGAGTAGGTGCGCTGCAATGGGGATCCTAACTTTTAGTTGACTACTGGTGCATGGTGAAACGTAAGACGGTTCTATAAAGGACGCTTGGCAGAGTGTTGGGTTGGAGTGATGCAGTAAAGCAGCTCGCAAGCCTGCAGACCATGTACACAGTAATGCACATACTATGGAGTGCACGACGCCCGGCTATGCATCAATAGGTGACTCAGATCTGCTAAAGTAGTGCTTAAACTGTAAAACATGCTTAGCACTTTGGGACAGGGAAGGTTGAGCAAATGGCTTGGGGGACCCAGTAAAACAAGTATTCTGGAAACCCAATTTTTTTTCTTTATTTGTTTCATAAGGGACAGAAATAAAGATGTGGTGTCTGACAGCCTCTGCCCCCCCCCCCCCCCTCCCCTAACATTCAGCAGCCCAAGATAGTTACATAATAACAGTTCTGCAAAACATTATGCAATTAAATAAACAAGTCAAAGCAACAAGGGGATATAAACAGTAAATTAATCTGGTAAAAACACTATAAATGTTGGTATATGTTAGTTGTGTGAAAACTAAAAACAAAACAAAAAACTGTGATACAGTCACATATATATCCGACATCTCAGCAACAATAATGAATTCAGATGAGATTAAAAGGCAACATCAGGGTGTTTTATTTTTGTTGAATACAGATTTTTCTAAAAAAAGCCGTGAGACTTACACAATTGCGGTCTGTGCAAGGAAGTTATATGGCCAGGCGGGCATTATGTCCAAGAGAGAATGCAACTAATAGATGACTAATTAATTTAAATTCAATAATTACTCTTTTAATTAGATGCTTTAGGGCACATGGTAATATTGAAGAAGTGGAGGCAATCAACGTTGAAAGCCAGCCCAGTTTTTAAAAATCCTGGAGAAGGTCCACGCCTTCGGCCACGCGTCATTCTTTGTGCTCAGACACAGCCAAGCCACCCATCCATCTCACCAAGGACAGCTTTGTGACGGGGCACAATATCGGTTCCTGGCTAAACTTTGGTCCGTGGTCCAACGCAGACTTGATGTTTGGTGGTTTGAGCACGAACAACGATGCGTGGCCGACGGCGTGGACATTCTCCAACGCACCGCTGGCCAGTCAACGAGAAGCTTCAAGACCAGCAACATTGTCGCCTACTTTTCGAAACACAACCTCAAGCTGGTAACTGCTAATAAGGAAGGAGGATTCGTCGTTGCTCCGTCCGCCCTTTACGGTGGGAAGGCAATCCAGGTCATCGACAAGGATTTCAAGGGAGTCTCTCAGGACCCTTGTCAAAGGGGAAATATAGGACTTATGCAGCAAATTGCAACTATCGGGGTTGCTAAACAGCGTCCGGTCTAGCCAGAAATTGAACCTCGTCATATTTTTGACTGCTAAAACACATAAGCTTGAAGTTCCCTTTAGGGCCATTGTTACAGAAAGAGGCGCTTGGCAGTTTCACACAGTCTTGGGTAGTAACGCGTTACTGTAACTTCGTTACTTTTTTGGTGACTTCTAACTGTATCGAGTTACTTTTTTTAAAATTGTAACTTGTAAGTGTAGTTCCATTACTTTTTCTGACGTAACGATGAAAGTAACAACGTTACTTTTGTTGTTACTTTCCAGTTGTTTTATGAATAATATATCATTGAACAAGTACAATCCGGCTACTCCTTGCACTTTCCAAATTGTCTTTTCCGACATTTCGGGTGTATTGGCTTTGCACAAACTTGTAAATACGTTTGTTCTCGCAAGTCACGACCCAAATATAGCCACGTGTAGATTTATGACACTAAGATTTTGGCTAGGTATAAAGATAAAGTGTCGCGAGAATTGCACGAGGCATTTGAAATTAGGAACCGAGAGGAGAAATGTATAAGTGACACGTCCCTATCCTTATCTACAAATGAGTTGGAATTTTTGAAACACGGACTGAGCAGGTAGGGTAAACAAGGTTTTTGTGGCTATATAATGTGCGAATTTTCAATAAACTTCAGTTGAGAGTGTGCCTTGTCCTGTTTCCCGTCGTCTGTGTCCCTGTATTTTTTCGGCGCTTTTTGTTTGCAAAATAGTGACGCGAAATAGGTTTTTTTATTGAAATGGACGGTTGAGCGACTTGGGAGGAGTTCATAGTAAACTCGTACTAACCTGCTTGTCCCGTGTATTTCTTTTTAATCATCATCCCAGTCGCGCTGTTTTTCACTATGAATAGGGTTCTGTTTCTCCTCTCTTCACATGATCCCCGCACTGACCGGACGTGCATACTCTGTCGCAGGCCCGCACCCAAGAACGAGGACGAGATGATGGTGGACATCTTTGAGTACATTGACCGCATCATGAGCGTGGTGCGGCCCAGGAGGCTCCTCTACATGGCCATCGACGGCGTGGTGAGAACTTCGTCACCAACAGCAAAGCGAACCTCGTCGCAGGTGTCAGAGTGAACTCTGTCGCAAACGGCGGAATGTGCTTTGTCACAAATGGCAGGGCTAACTTCGTCACAAATGGCAGGGCTATGCCCATCAAACACTTGCGGTGCTGAGTCTGACTGCAAGTTTTGCAGTATTTTTGAGATCAAATCTATTCGCCGTCCTCGGGGTAACGGTTGCTCGTATCGTTGTTGGACTTATTAATGCGAATGCATGAACTGGTCTCATGGAGCGAGCTGACGTTGTTAGTTTGAATCGCGAAAACGGCACCTAGTTTCCCCGATCCTTCAGTTCCTTTGGCTGGCGCACGTCGACAGTGCTCCCACTGGCCGCTGCGCTCGTCAGTTTTCACGACCGCTCACCCCGCGGCGCTGCATGCCCGTCAGCGTGCCAATGCTCCCCTGGGCACGGAGCGTCCAAGGTCACTGTGCCCAGGGGAGCACACCACGCGCTGACCGGCGACAAAAAGGGGAGTGGACGAACGGCTTGCATGCTTTTGCATTCACAACCCACGAGAAATGCTCGGGTGTACCTCAATCTTTTTTTTTTTTTTTTGCCCCTCTGGTGAAAGTGTGTGTTGGGAAATATATTCAGACCAGAAGTGTACCAGGGATACCCGACAGCTTGAACCACTGAGTTTGTTGCCGAACAAATAGGGGCAAATAGTCACTAGCTGCATGCAGTTTGGGGTTGGACCTTATTGTTGCTCCAGTGAGATTGTGACATGAGGCGATAAGAACGCCAGAGAAGGAATTACAATGCAAGAAGCCTCACAGCCATGATGCATTATATCTTAAGCTTTATAGCGATAGAGTGACCGGATGCAAAGAGTGGCAATGACTCTTATGCATGCAGGATGTTTGGGAACTTCAAGGCCAGAACACACTGCTGCAAGTTCCTAGGTTGGATTGGAATGTTCCAGCCAGGTGTCGAGGAAAGGAAATGGGAGCCTGAGGGGGTCGATTTAATTTTTGGAAAAGAAGCTCGAAATGTCTAGCAACTGGGAAAACCGGGAATTGTCAGGGAAATTGTAGTTACCGGGAAAAATCGGGGAATTGTCAGGGATATCGTCAAAAAGCGAGCCAGGTCGGGGAAAACCAGCCGGAAATGCCATCGAGTGCCCTGAGCAAAGACTTAAGGACTTGAGGGCAGAAAAGTAGGCAATGAATTCTGCTTAGAGCAGAGCTCGGGCTCTGCTCAGCTGATGTAGAGTGAACTACCCGATGCAAAGCGAACAGCCGACAAATCCGGTCCAAGCCTTGAATTGGATTGGATTGAGGGCACGACACTAGGCTAGATCCAGTTAGAGCTACAAGATTTAGTAACAAACGGGAAAGTCGCAGACTCCAATCCAATCCATGCTTTAAGCCAAAAGTATCCGAAAGTGTGCATCTGGCGGCCATTCCGCCAAGCTGCCATTCGGTTATTGACGTGTGTGGTTGAGCGTCGTGTTTTCATTGTGTGTCCGGAAGTGGCCCCTACACTGATGATGTCGGCGGCAAGAAAGTGCTCATTTAATCTGGACTGGACGAACCCGAATATTTCAGAATATGCAAGTTGGATTAAGCCCGTGCAGAATGATCCTCACAGTGCTCAATGTTCAATGCCTTGTGCTGTGATGGTCTTATATATTTACCCGCCTCTAGAATGATCAGGGAATTTCACCTGAAATTGTCAGGGAAGACCTGGAAAAGTCAGGGCATTTTAAAATAATAATGTGCTAGACACCCTGGAAACTTAATTTCCACAAACTTGGCAATTTAAAAAAAAAAAAAATGACGCAAAAAATTGATTGCAAGAGCACATCACTTTGCGTACTGAATACACAGCGTACCATTCCCAATCGCAAAATCTTGCGAGCACGAAATATTGTCGGAACCCATATTTTGCCAAATTTGTTCGATGCAGAGCCCACGAAAATAAATTTGCTTACAGATGGGTCTGGCTGACTTGAAATAAATTGCAAATACAAGCTTTTCATGCTACCACACTGGAACTTACCCGGGAAGTGAAGCTGGGTTGTAGATAATGAACCAATAAGAACTCTGACAAGAGAAAAAAAAAGGGAAAACAGATAATAAAATAAAATAGTTGGTTTGCCCAGCTTTCTGCGAAGTAAGGATGGGAGCAGAGCTGTACCTGTTTTGTGGGGTTTAAAGAGACTCCAGGTTTGTGCAGAGTGTGCCGTCTTTTGCAGGCGCCCCGTGCCAAGATGAACCAGCAGCGCTCCAGGCGCTTCCGTGCGTCCAAGGAGACGGCAGAGAAGGTGGAGGAGATGTCCCGCATCCGGACGGAGCTGAGGGACAAGGGCATCCCGCTGCCACCCGAAAAGCCCAAGAGCGAACACTTCGACAGCAACTGCATCACCCCCGTGAGTTGCACCTACCCTCTCCGATCCCTGCCGTCTCCGAGAAGAGAGAGATGGACCGGTACCAGCTAGAAGACGCGTGGCATCACCAAAACACATGCTTTGCGGCGACTCTCGTCGAACTCTGGCGTGTCGGGGATCCACTAACGACGGCTATATGCACGGGCCTCGTCTTCTAGGCGGTATTGGATGGACAGATGGTTTCTCTCGTAGGGTGTTGTTGCGCTTTCTCATTGATGGCACGTATATTGGGTCTCTGATGCCGGACGATTGCGTGTATGTGCTCTATGGCTCTTGGTGAGGCACCTCCTTCACATTTGCAATTTTCATAAATGTAACCTTTATCAAACATTATTTATTTATTTTATTTTTTTCTACCTTCAAGGCCGCGGTGGTACGGAGGGGACGGGGATTTGGAAAGAAACATATTCAAAAGCTGTTATACAGTGCAATCAACTTACAACGATAATGAGCAAACCCAAAAATGCAATTGTTATAACCAACAATCCTTATATGTGGACTGGAAACTGATCGTTTCTAATATAAAAACTCTATAAGCTTATTGTTATACGTGGTATTGTTAAAAGTGGATTGCACTGTATACCGTAAAATCCCGGAAGGGTGCCCACCCCTTGAGAGATTGCTCGTTCGGTTGGGCTAAATACCCGTAACATGAAAATTCTGAAACATTGCCCACTCCCCGATCCCCATCTGATGTCACGCGATTTCCGACGGGAAGCACATCAACTGGTATGTGTGACAGGCGGGCTTGCAACGGGCTCCCGCGTTTTTGTTTGCGATATCTCGAGTTTGTGTGACACTCGAGTTTGTAGCGAGTTTCCACATTTTTTTGTCCGCGATCGGCATAAGCGTTATCGGTTCCCGTGGCACGCGAGTTTAGCTGGCTTCTACGTGTTTATCGCACTGTGAAACATGAATCTCCTGCATCCGCAATATGTGGTATCCTTTTCCATGACACAGGAGTCCTTAGCGAATTCCCGCTTGTTTATCGCGTTGTGAAACGCTAGTTTGCCATGTCCGTGATTTACAGTATCAGTTCCCATGTCACATGGTTTGTAGAGCTTGCCCCTTGTGTTTATCATTAAATTTTTATAAAGTTTTGCTGCCTCATCCCCAAATATAGCCCCCATATCATGTTTTTCACCATTTCTTTTCATTATGAACAGGTGCCTTTTACGAGATATTGCGGTAGGCTCAAAACAAGAAACTAGGGCAGCCTTAAACCTATCAAAATCTTCGATTGTTGCCGTAGGAGGGGGAAAGTGGTTTCAATTGCAAGAAGTTTTAGGGATGAAGGAACCGTAAAAAGGGGTAGGCACACACGTGATTATGCCAACTGTGCAGTTATGGTCGAGACGTGAGACATGCAGATGCGGTCATTAACTAGTTGTGCTTGTAGATTTGAATTACTGTAATATACTTATGAAATGGACTTAGACGAGAGAAAATGTGCCATATGGAAAGATGGGTGAATATTTGGTTATTACGAATATCCAATCGAATTCTGTTCTGTTCGGCATTCGCTTCGAATCGAATTTAAGTATTCAACAATATCAAATTATCCGACAATATCGAATTATTCTGCCTTTCTAAATACAGTCAAACCCGACTATATCGAACCCGATTGCATGAAAATATTCCTTATATCGAACAATTTTTGTGCTCAGTAATGTTACAGTGATAATATATAGCAAAAACTATGGTTGCTTCGAACAAAAATAGCAGCCGCTACCGATATATCGAACTGCCAAGAGCGCCGTTTTGCTCTGCAAGCTGGCTTTCCCCCAATGCGGGTGGCCGCATTGGGGGAAAGCCCGCTTGCAAAGCACGCTGGCTTTTTTTTTTTTTTTTTTTTTTCTCTCTCTCGGGGGAGGGGGGGGGGGGGGGGGGGGGCGGTCGCATTGATTGTTTGGAAGAAAAGAAAAAAAAAATCTTTTTCGGAGGGAGCGGAGAGAGAGTGCTTCGTGCTCCCTCTCCTTGTTCTGTCCGCAAAAGTGAATATTATTTTTTCTTCCAAACAATTAACCCAACCGCTCGAAAAAAAAAAAAAAAAAAAAAATAAGTTAGCTTGCTTTGTTATAGTGAATTCCACTCGTAGATCCGGAGCGCTTTCCAAAATCCGCGAGGGAGGCGATATTCCGCTCCGTGGGGCCCGCTCCAAATCAACGAGGGGAAGATAAACTTGCATTTTTGGAGCGACCTCCCCCACACCCTCCCCATCGCTTCCCCCTTGCCGTTCAAAATTGGCCGCTGCTCAAACTTGACAAGCGCACCAATGCCTCAGCCGACTGATCTTTCCGACGACCTGTGACGACTGCCACTGCTTGGCTGCAGAAATAACACGCGACACACGCCGGGCGAAATTATACGTACCACGACGCCTATGTCACAAATAACAAAGACGTCCGCGTTCGCACCGTCACATCCCTTTCGGCCGCCTCGAAGCGGCGGGGCACGGACAGCGATTGCCAGGGGTGGAGTTCAGATTTCTGGTATGACTTTAATAAACACAGAGGTAACCAACCATCACTCTCACGATCGTTGCCTAATCACTTGTTGCTTTATTTCTCGGGAAACGCCAGCGGTATGCAGTGTAAAAAGGTAAACAAGCATTGGCTGCAGAATGAACCGGCCTAACCTTGCGTCTGCCTCTGGCTTTTCTGTTGTTTTTTTTCTTGTTCTTCCTCTCACGATCACAGATGTCAGCGCCTACGATTTACCACGCTCCACAGTCCCGGCTTTCTATCCCTGATGTATGCGAGGTAGAAACATTCGAGCCGTCGCAATCCCACGTAAACAACCGACACCCCCGAACAGATCCAACTCAACGATCTGACTGTGGCCCGACCGGCCAAAGCCGCCGCCCGGCCCGCGAACCTCTCCAACCTCGCCGCGCATCTGCACTGCCGATTTAGACGGAAATCACGTGAGCAGCTCTGTCAACTTCCAAAGAGATATGTGGAATCCTGCAGAGCAAGTTCGGCGGGGTTTGGGGCGCTCCGTGGAGCGGGCGCTGCCAGAGATCTACGAGCGGAAGATGACCAACTCGAGCCAGATCTGCGAGCGGAATATGCACGCTCCAAATGGAGCGCTTTTGGAGTGCTCGAGATCAGCGAGGGGAATTCACCATAATGGTGAATTCCCTGGCTTCCCCCAACGCACCCACCTGTCTTAAGGGAAAGCCAGCTTGCAGAGCAAAACGGCACTCTGCAGGAGAAGGTGCTCCTGCTCGGACGTACTCCGTGCTCTCGGCATAGTTCGGCGCTAATTGGGAATATAGAAGGCAGCGGCCTCGGCATTTTGCATTTTGGAGTCCGTCGATAGCGTACAAAAATATCGTTATTGTGGATGCAATGAAGGAAAAACAGCAGAAGATGCAAGACTACATACTTCATTGTGTAATATTTCAGGAGAGTGGATTTTTGAGAGTCAAATTCAATAAAACTTTTATATTGAATTACCAGCTATATTGAACTAGTAGACCTTTTTTTCCGAGTTTGAAATAAACGGGTTTGACTTACTCTGGCTTGGATTTCCAGCCAGGTGGCGCAAGCTTCCGACCATTTCGTGCTCCTGAACTCAATACGCTTGAAATTAACAATTACAGTACTTCTAATACCAAATAAAGGCAAATATAAGACTATAGTTTAAACATATCTTGTGATATTTGTTGCTTGTCCTATTCGAACTATTCGATTCAAAATTATTCGGCCAAAATCACTATTCGCTTCGAATTCGATTCCGACCCGAAATCCTCTATTTGCTCATGCCTAGTAATGAGAGATTACATTTTATTGACATGGCACTTGACGTTCAATGGTAGTCGGATAGTATAAAAAGTGCTGACCGGTTTTTAATATTGTTATGGTCCAGATTCTCTAAAGTTTTTAATGAAAAGAATTGATGTTCACATACGAAACCACCTCAAGAGGAGCAGAAAGTTATACTTAAGCCCTGGTCCCACTTGAGCAACAGACGACGACCAATACCGCCCAGCCTCGAGCATGTGCAGCAAACACGTGAAAGTATTTGTGGTAGGCTCGCTGTCACTTGTGCTTATTTCACGAGTACTGAAGGCGTACAAGCCCGCCAGAGGTACCTTGACGTGCATGCCACATGTGCTTAAAGTCAATTGTTGTCATTTTGTTGTGAGTTGTAGTTACGAGAAATTTGGGAGATATGCTTTGCCGTAACCGACCAAACTGACAGAGTCCAAACTCAAAACAGAAACAGTATAGTTCAGCCATTATGTATATTAAAAGAAAGGATAGTTACACTAGCTTGATCGTGCCGACAAAGACTGGGGAGCACAGAATATGTTGTGAATGAGGCGAGACATGCTTTGTGTTTGTGACGTCACATGACGTCATGTCACATGATAGATGTCGCAGTTCTTTGTGACAGTTCTTCGTGATGGTACTTTGCGACGGTTCTTTGTGGTAATCATTCGTGGCGGTTCTTTGTGATGGCTCTTTGTGATGATATTTTGTGATGGTTCTTCGTGACCATTTCCTCACAGAATTAGGCTCGCAAAACACATTCTGTGTTAGAAGCTTTTGTGTGGAGCATGTCCCATTAAAACAAGAAGCAAAGTGCTAAGCCCAGCGTCCCATGCTGAATCGGGGTTTTGGCGTCCCTGTGCAGGGCACTCCATTCATGGCCCGGCTGGCCAAGTGCCTGCACTACTATGTGCACGACCGGATGAACAACGACCCCGGCTGGAAGAACATCGAGGTCATCCTGTCGGACGCCAACGTGCCAGGGGAGGGGGAGCACAAGATCATGGACTTCATCCGCAGGCAGAGGGGTCAGTGACGGGCACCCTGCTGCCAACACCCCTTATGGAACTGCGGTTCTCAAACTTGCAAACTCCCAGGGGTCTTCGTAAGAATTCACGGAGGATTGCGCCAAATAGGAAAGCTACCCTTAAAACAAAAGCTCTCCTAGCCATCGCACGAGACCTTTGATGCAGAATGCATGGTGGGTCCCCGAACGGCCTTCGAGTGTCGGGGGTCCATGACAGCTAAACGTTTGAGAAATGTTGCTATTGACCAGGGTCGCTAGCCTTGTCAAACACAAAGTTGGGGCCTAATTTTGCGGAGCGTGCCGATTGAACTCTTGCGGCGATGGCCTCATACGGGGCGAGATCTCAATTGTTTGAACTTTCTAGGTACTCAAATTTCAGCGTGATTGTGGAACATGAGGTTGTAGCGAGGTTCATCGGAGCGCACGTGAGCAACACTGTGCGGCTCGCTGAATGGATGGCTGCACGGACGACGTTGCGGCGGCGTGTCCATACGTCCCGATGCCGCATTAGGGGTCGATGCCGTCTAGATTGTCCCTAAGCGGGCCGTGAATACTCCAAACTTTCTCTTTGCTAGGGTCGTTGTTTACGATAGTCATCAGAGACGACAAAGTGACGTTTTACAACTTTGGGAAGAAGTTATTTGAGGCCAAAATCTTTGCTTTCGGACCGAGGCAGAGATTTAACTTTCTGATATGGCGGTTTCATGGGCGGCTTACACGGTTCACAAGCTCATCGTTTGCCATCGTGAATAACGCTACCGGGGTCACCGAGAGACGGTGTTGTTCACTGTAAGGGATAGAGAGATGAGGGGCTAAATTTAGCGGGGTAACCGAACCAGTGTTTACGCTACCTTGAATCACCCACTAAATTTGGCGGGAAATGCGTGGACGAACGGATGGACATGTAGTACCTGTTTGAATTCATACATCCGAGTTTACTCAATTAACCGAAACCTCCTGTACCTAAAATGTTTGTCTGCCTTTGTAGGCAAGGATTGCCCTTTGCAAGAGGGTCTCAACATTGTTTTTTCTTTTGACTAATGGTTTCTTTTTGTATGCCTTTTTCAGCGAACCCAAAGCACGACCCAAACACCCACCACTGTCTTTGTGGAGCGGACGGTGAGTGCAGCATGTCGTGTTCTTGTTGCCTGTTCTGGCGGTACACTTGTACCTGTTGTTTCTGCATTGTTGCATCTATTCAGACTCGTGCAATCTTGGGTAAGCCAATAGCGTGGGGAGAAATCTTCATAATTGCTTGAATTCCAAGACACCTCTGACAGCCCCCCAAATACGGAAAAAGTTGCACAAAATTTTATAATTTGGTTTCTAAGACTCTACTTGTTGATATATTTGCTGCACAGTTGCATATCTGCTGTGAAAATCAAAGGAAGTCTGACCAAATCCAGGGGTCCAACGCAGGGAATTGGTGTATCAGGAGCTCCGGAACTTCCCTGTGTATTTTCAGCTCTTATTACTATGCATTTTAAATTTATTAAAGGTTCTGTGCTAGAATATTTGTACTTTCAGCACATTTTCTTCAGAATCGTCTGCTCGCGTGTGCCAGCTCAGAAATTACTTATATACACATTTGCAAGTACGGTCTCTGGGCACCGCCATCTTGCCGATGGGGCACCAAACTAATTTGATTATCGGACTATGGCAGCGCCCAAGTGTACCCCAAGCGAGCAAGATGGCGACGCCCAGAGGCCGTACTTGCAAATGTGTATGGGAGGCCAGTGTCGTTGCATCAAATTAACATCACCCTAAAGGTAATTTTGTGAGCCCCCCATTGGTTGGAGGGAGTGCAGAGGAGAGATATCCCCGCGGCATACCGTTCCTTCATCAAATTGACAAAATAGAGGGACTTTGTCAATTTCTTAGCTCTCTTAAAAAATAAACAAAATTGACAAAGCTAAAAAAATGTTTTTCAGTTTTGTCTTCTTAATGCGAAAGCTTTAACTGTCCCATGGAGTGGAGTCGACGGCAACTGTAACCCCAAAAGAAACCGCGAAAGAAATTCCCAGGAGCCGGCGGCGTCTGCAACTGCGAAAGACCGCAAAAGAAATTCCCAAAACCCGGCGGGGTCTCTAGCCGCTGTAACCGTGAAAAACGTGAAAGTCCCAGCGAAACGGCTCCCTGGATAGCCATTGGCCGGAACACACGTACGGTCAAACCCGGATATATCAAACTCAAAGGGGATCGTAAAATAATTTGATATATCAAGAATATTAATTTGATATACAAAAATATCTTCAATTAGGCTCGAGTTGAAATATCCTGGCGTCTCCGCTAATGCCGAAGGTTGCGACAAACGAGAGCTTAGCAAATAGAGCATCCAAGAGTTGATAAATAGAGTAGAGCGTAGTTGGCGGAGACCGCAAACACTGCCGCGCTTACACGCACGCCTGGACGGAACCTCCAACAGCGTAAACAGCAAAACGCAAAAATAATTTTAAAAAAAATGAAAGAAAAATGGAAAAAGGAGACTCATAAAAAATATCTCGTGATCCATAGGAAAAAGTTATACAAGCAACAAAAAAAAAAGCTCACTAAATTGTTTTAACAATACAGTCTAAGTTTGTTATAACAGACCTTGATTTTGATCAAGATTTCAGTCTGTTGTAAAAGGAGTAAGTTGTATGCAGATATGAAGTTGAGTCAATGGTGCATAGAGGAAAACCAACCGAACTTCAGAAATTGGTATGTTAAATCCAAATGTCTACTGTAACCAGGTCTGTTGTGATGACCTTAGACGATATTTAAAAGGATACAAAGACAAAATACAAAGAGTTGTGATTGTGAGTTCAATGCTGTGTGTATGTTTTTGTGTCCGTAATCGAGTGAGGGCCTGTGTTGGGAGAAGTTTATATTTTTTATTTATTTATTTCCAATACTACTAACCCCATTCGGGGTTGTTGTAGGGTGGTACAGTTTGAGACATTACAAGCAGAAAAATAATATTCAACACACAATTTGCAGGTAAATATTCAAAGCAAATATAGAAGTCGCGAATGAAAAATTAGTAAACAACTTCAATACAATAGATACACTGCACTTTTAAAAACAGCATAAAATATTAGTTTATGATGAAAAGTGGGCATCTACGTAATCGAGGAAGATTTCAATAGAAGAGCAATGAACAACGTTTTGAGGCAGGTGGTTCCATTCGTTAATGGTTCGGGGAAAAAAAGAGAATTTAAAGCAGTTATTATGAGCGACGTCTTCCTCGTAAAGCTTGCCATGGTTGTACCGTGTTAATCGTTTGCTTGTATGGATAAGATAATTTTCTTTTGGTAGGTTGAAATGATCGTTGGCTAATTCGTATAGAAATTTAAGTCTAGCTGTTTTTGCTCTTTTTTCTAAAGAGGAGAGACCCAGTTGCCTGCAAAGTTCAGAGGGAGAAACGTGCCTATTATACTTATTGCAAATAAACCTCGCGGCCATTCTCTAAACTCTTTCTATCTTATTGATGCCGGAGACTGTGTGGGGAAACCAGACGACGTTGGCGTACTCGAGCATAGGACGTATTAAAGTTTTGTAGGCTAGTAATTTAGTGGCAGGAGATGCAAATTTTAAGACTCGTTTAAGGAAACTCAGTTTGTTTAGAGCTTTATTAGTTGTGGAGTGAATGTGTGAGTCCCAACGTAAAATTTTGACTTACACACATAAGGTGTGAAGTCGCAAGATAAAAAGAAACCTTGGGAAGGTGCCCTAGTTTTGCGTGGCCTCCCTGCATGCTCGCACAAAAATCCAGAGAAGAAACAACGTGATGAGACATCCTTTTGTTTTACGAAGATCTCGAGACAGGTGTCTGCCCTGCAACAGTGCCGGCAACGACTGATCATTATTTATGGATTTTCCCTTTGAATCGGGTGGTCCCGCATGCTAGGGATATAGCCTGTGGTGTTTGCTTATCCCCTTTGCTGCACCAGCCAGCCACCAATTGTCTACGCTCGGTACTTTCCACCCTCCCCCTCCACTTCCAAAGTTGGCCGTCGGCGTAGAGTCAACGTATAGACCAGGCCTAACGCTGAGTGCCCCTGCCAGTGCGTGCTCGCGGGTCCCTTGACCGAGAGGTGATCTAGTCTGGCTGGATGAGAACTGGTGCGTAGATATCTCGTTCACCGTCTCTCGAGGTGAACTAGGAGTTTTCTGCCTAGCACAATGCTGACCTCTCACATGCAGCAGGGAAGTCCCTATAACTGCCATCACTGTAAAATTGTGAGTTTAGCGAGTGATTGTCCGCAGTTGAGCCTCGTTGCTCAATGGCACTGTCTCGTTCTGCGCAGCCGACCTGATTATGCTGGGACTGGCTACACACGAACCCAACTTCACCATCATCCGCGAGGAGTTCAAGCCCAATCAGCCGAGACCCTGCGAACTCTGCGGCCAGCTCGGTGAGTTGGGGCTGACGCCTTTTAAACTGGAGCAGCCCAACATTCAAATGGCCATGCGCATCTCCCAACACACATAATGGATCACGTGTGCATTTATGCTCGCGAGGCGATGTTGTCGAGACGTGGTCGGTGATGTCTTTTTTTTTTAATTTCTAGACTTTGGTTTGAGTGAGGGAAGCTCACAATTACGAGTGGTTACCACTTTTTAACATGGAACATGTTTTATGAGTCGTTTTTTTTAATATCAGGAACGAGTGTCACGCACGATTTTGGGAACGAAGGTCACAAACGATCGATGTTGACGAGCGTCGTGAACGAGTGAAACGCTGGGAGCGTCGCACGTTAAGGTTATATGTAAAGTTAGAGGCTCAGTGGGGCTCGAACATGGGTCTGTGCGGTGGCAGTCGGATACTTTAGCCACTAAGCTGCATAGCACAGCTGCTCTACAAGGACTAAGCTCCTGGCAAAATGTGCCGGCGAGAGCGACGCAATGTCGTACTGTGTGACCGTGCGGTGCGCTCGTTCGCTTGGTCTTACCCTGGATATCACCCGTGATGCACAATGAAAAAACTAGCGCAAGCCACGCACGGAGCGTGGCTTGTGCCAGTTTCAGAATGAGTCCCTGGTTTCCGTCTCCACAATAGAGTGATAGAGAATTTTTTTCTATTTGGAGGACTTTCGGTTAAGAAGACCTTGCTTATCTCCCATTCCTTCCAGTGATGGCATGCAAAGGGCTGGGAAGAATGAACATTTATCTTGATCCTACGGGTAAAACTGGCATGCGCAGACTGTGTGTCTGCGGCAGTCTTTGAAGCCTGTGGCGAACTTTGCAGTTATATTTTTTCTTTTAATTTTTTTCGGTTATACAAGTAGAAACCAAGGTGGAGGAGGATATGAGAGTGCGCAGGGACATCGGAGCTTCGAGCTCTGGTTGGAAGGATTATTGGGTGGACGCAAGGCTAGCCGCCCTTGTCTCGACTCGCTGCCAGAACGCGTTCTAACGCTGGCATTCACTTTCGCCACTGCCCCTTTGGCACGGCGGGAGAGTGTCAGAGCTCATAATCACGAGGTCATGCTTTCGATTCCTGTCTGGGCGCATTCGGATTTTTGTTCCTTCTTAATGAATTTCTGTGTCTTCCCCCTTACCATATTTACTCACGTAATGAACGGTCTTCATTTTCCGAAAAGTTTACACATACTTGGGGGGTGCATTCAATACACGCCCTTTTGCCGAAGGAGAGGCGCCCCACGAAGCTCGCTCAGCGCAGAGAGCGACGCGACCATTCTTAGGTCTAACCACTTTGGTGATTTTACTGTCTGAAAGCGAACCACGGACGGCGGCATGTCCGTTGGCATCAGTGTATTTGATGGGTCAAGCATGTGCTATCTTTTTGTTAAGGTTAAGGAGGGCTGTTATATTTGTGCAATTAATTTTTCGCAATACATTTCCATTCCCAGTGATGTGATTGCTGCGCCAATTGCGCCAAACTGCGCCAAGGGGCTAACCCTGCTATATCCTGCTACATTTTGTCTAAATAAGGGTAATCTGTGCCAAATGACCAATTTTGGTCGCCTTACAATACTAAAACTAAACTGAGTGCCGTAATTGAGCATGCGTGAGCTAGGTGGCGCAAGCGGCCGCCCGACACAAAGTACCCTGCATCAATCGTTCATCTGTTGTCTCTCGTTTCGCGCCGTCTCTCGTTTTGCGCTCTTGTCGTCTCGCATGTCACTTCTTTTTAAAACTCTTTCAACGATAGACGCGCGCATGTGCAAGCAGCCATGCCATCAAGCTGTGAAACGAAAAACGTTTTTGCGCGGTGGGAGTTACTTTGTGAGCTGAAGCACTTGCGCCTGAAAGCAATGGTCGTGGAAAAACTATATTCGGTCGAGACAGAACGAGCGGTTTGGTAGAGATAATCAAAAACTTGAGGAAACTTGCCAGTTGGAAGTTTGTGCTTGTCTGTTCCTTCTCGTTTTCTTCCTCAAGTTTAAATATATTTGGTCTCTGCCTGCCAGTCAGCCGGGTCGCGCGACGTCGGCTGTTGCCATCCCCACGTCGCTGCAGATATGGCGCTTTCTAAAATGAAACGTAAGGACCGCCCTAATGTTCACCAACGTTCCAGTTCTTGTTTAATACGCTAATATCCCTTTAGCTCAAAGACTGCTGTGTCGAAGTACTGATTGCCTGGGTTTCTCTTGGTACACTTTCTTTCGAGGGGTACCCCGGTACAAGAAAAATCTGCCGCAAAAGAGAGTTGGTGAAGGGAAGTAAGGCTAAAGCAAAGAAGCAATCTCTGCACGCTGAACACTCACAATGCACTTGTATGTCTCGAGTTCAGTCGGTGCACAAAGCGCTCCGAGAGCTTTTTGACCCTGGCTCGTGAAGTCTTGCATCGATGTGCTCAGATTCTTTTTTTTTTTCTTTGTGTTTAGCTTGTACCTCACTAGCCGGTCTCGCAAGTACGTGCGGCTGGACTGTTTTTGTCGTATCCTGGACAGTTACATTTTGTATACAATTTTGAGAACCAGTTGGCGATGGAGCGGAGTGGCATGGTTTCGATCGAACAGCCATTGCCGCTCGCGCGACAATTTCGCATTGCACTGTAGTGGTCTCGTGTATCAACGGTCAAAGACAGCTTCCATTTATTATATAACTAGTCAACCTAATGCTGCGATATTTACTACTAAGCTGGTCATTTTCAAATAAATTTTAATATGTGCAGCTTGGTTCTCATTCACCTATAACGGGTACATATATATGCATCACTTAACTGAAGCATTGCAAAATGTGACATGTCATTGGCATTTCAGTTACATGTTGAAAGACTCTCAAATGGTCTAACTTGACTATAATTTGTTTATTTCGGCGAGCAAAGTGCCCTTCGTTTGTCCAGCACTTGAAGCAAATATTTCTATTTTTGTAAGAATATCTGCACCAAAAGTCACTTTTGCTGTTCCAAAACACTATTTTAGCTGCTCCAAAATCCACCTTTGCTGCTCCAAAACACTGTATTAGCTGCTCCAAAGTCCACTTTTGCTGCTCCCAAGCACTGTTTTGGTTGCGCCAAAAGGTGCTCCAAAACGGCTTAGGCCAATCACATCACTGCATTCCCAAAATGCATAGAAGTTGTGTCCAGTGTTCTACATACAGACTTGTGTTGTAACCGCATTTCTGGTGACCAGGTTATGCCGTGGCTAGGCTTTGCTTTTTGAGTTTTCCTTCCACGTTTTTGTTTTGCCGATTGGCAGAATCTACTGTGTAGATGTCTGTGCATAGTCCTGGGAACAGCCATTCACGGTGCTTGTTCCCATCTTTCTTGCAGGCCACGAAATGAAGGACTGCCAGGGTCTAGCCAAGGAGAAGACTGGAGAGGTGAGGCTTGCTTCTGGTTTTTCGGAGCAACTATGGCACATAGCAGTCAAATACAGGAGTGTTGACTAAACGACAGAAGAGTGTCAAACATATTTCTTGAGAGTGTCTTTGGGTCACGTGGTGAAAAAACCACGTGACGGGATGCTAACGTTGCATTGGAGACTATGGTTAAACTATGATCACTGTAGTTAAGACTCTTGTCTGCCTATTCTGTGCCTGTAGCAGAGTCTGAGTATTTGATTAATGATATTGCAGTTTGACGAGCTGGAAAAGCCGATTGGCTGCGAGACGGAGTTCATCTTCCTTCGCCTCAACGTCCTTCGAGAATATCTGACAAGAGACCTCCACATGGACAACCTCCCCTTCACATTCAACATTGAGGTAAGGTCGCTTACCCACCACCCCTTTTTTTTTTTTTTTTTTTTATTAATGTGTTAGCACTGGTACCCACGTGACGGGGAAAAGCTGATGGCGTCCGTCTGCAGGCAAAACAGTGGAAAGGGAAGCGTGCCGCGTAGAGAGGAGGAGAGTAGCGAAGGTCAAAGGCGAGAGGGAGGCCACGTCACGGGGCGGAAGCCAGTGCAGAGCACGTATGCCTTGGTTTGTGCTAGAAAATGGAGTGTAAACCAAGCACCAGCAACGGTCCAACTAGGCGACAAAATAAATTACAAGAGAGATCCATTGGGGGATCTTTAGGGGATGTGTTAGTATTGGCCTCGAGATCGACCTAGAGGTGGCGCTACGGTCGCGCTATCATCATCATCATCATCATCAAAGCGGGGATAGGAGAACGGCCGCCCCATAGGCTCTCCGCGGTCGCGCGCGAGACGGCGTAGATTCTTGCGTTTATTTTGTCGCATACTATCGATAGAAAAACGATTCTAGCGTAAAAGGATGCAGTACTGTTTGGTGCTTCAGTAAAGATCGAATCATGTTGCCAGCGTGCGGCCCAAATGTATATAATCGCTTCTGTGGGTGCGTCGTCTGCTCTAGGCAGATGTTGGAAAGCATGGATCACCACGACTGATGCCTGTTGAACTGGAATATTTATGTTAAATATTTGTTTCTTTTAAAATGAATGTATCGGTTCATCAATGAAGGAATTAAAAAAAAATCCAACCCAGATAACATAATACTGGTACTGTGGGCTGTGAAATCGCAGTTTCTATGCTTTTTTTTAACATCTAGCTTTTGCAGTAATATAAATATTTAGAATGAAGATGAGTTAGCGCTGTATTGGAAATTACCATGCTATTGAGTTACTCTGCCCTTTTACTGTGCCATAGTGTAGGTAACATTCTTGGAGTCTGAACAAATCTACTGCGTTGCGATGAGGAGAGAGTGTCTCTTCTTGTTAAAATCTGCAAACTTCACGGTCGGCAGGACAACTGAAACAAGTGAAACAAACTGATCTAATATATCTTTTGTGACTGTAATAAACGAGTGTAACCGAGCAACGCAGCAATGTTCCTGTTATTAAATGCTTTTCTCGGTAGTGTGAGTTCACCCGCTTCAATTTTTCTAGTGAGGGCCGCGGATGTCAAGAGGTAATACTATAAATTTCTGGCTAAATAATCTTGTATTCAAACATGGTAGACCTTGCAACCCAAACAAACGACGTGCACCATGACACAGGCAGCATCGGCCGCAGTGATACTCTTTTACCGACGAGGGCTAGCCACCTTCACGAGACTCCGATTACCCTCCGCCCTCACCTAACGTATATCGGGACTGGGCATTCCTCGATTATGAAATTTTTTTGCCAATTAATTGGAGCCTTGTGCTGGAGAAAGTCAACAAGGAGTAAAATATGCCTGCTTTAATAGTTTTGACCTCTTTACTTCTATTGTGGCACCGGCTTGCACGGTAAACCACTCCAGCGTGGTTTACCATTTATTAATTCTCCGAGGGTGATTATACTGTTTAAATAATAACTTAAAAATACCTCATTTTAAAAGGCTTCCCGTGTTCATATTTATGTAGGACTCACAACATGAAGTTTATAATGGGAATGCAATATGCCATTTATGACATAGTAAAACCAGTAAAAAATGTGTAGTTTTAACGTCTTTCACGCAATATGACTGGGGAAAAATCAACATACGGATTTATTGATTGATTAGTCTATTGAAGGATAGCCATCAGTCGGGTTAATTTTCTAATAAAACCACAGACCCACTAAACATTCAATGCTTTATGAAAGCCGCGGTTTGTGCGAGATAACAAAGATACGTAGACCAGCGATTGTATAAAAAAACAACACACTAAGATTATGGAAGCCTCCGACTTAATAATAATCGCTTTGCTGAATTTCTACGCAAGGCGAACGATACAACACAACCTTTAGTAAGAAGAAACGGCAACAAAAACATAAAACATTTAATAAGGACTGTCAAGCTCAGCCTGAAACGGGCTTGCGTCGTCGAGATCCATGCTTCTGAGCGTGCGCCCGTAGCAGACGACGCACGGCGGTATCCCCGCTTTCGCGCGTTTCCAATTTCGGCCGCACGGTGGCAGCACGGTTCGATCTCGAGGCGAATAACCCTTGGGAAACGCTAACGCTAACCACGTAACGAAGCAAAAAAAAAAAAAAAAAAGATTTGTGTGGTGTTTTTTAAGGATCACGCTAGCACATTCCTTATGTATCCACCTGACACTTGCATTGCCCTGGGGGCATTATTCCGGGGAAGTTGCATAAAGTAAATAAACATTATTCATAAATGTAAACAACGTACACTTAAAAAGAAATAAGAACAGAAATTTGGTAACAGTACATCTGACGTGCTTCTGTAGAAGTGAAAAGAAGGCATTTTCCTGACTGGTGAAAGCAAAAAAAGTGGTCAAAAACATTTCTACGGCAGCTCAACTCCCACACTTTTCTTTTCACGGTCGTTCCGTTGCAAAATAAATTTTGGTTCCTTCGCATATCCTTATGCCTGTGTGCACCACCGCTTCCCAAACTCTGCTACCGTGCGACCCACCAAAAGTATAAAATATGGCGTCGCGGTCCCGACTTCCTGGCTTTTAAAGACGCCACAAGCTTTTCAATTTTGAGTGCCTAAACAGTAAAACACAGAATTGAGACCCAAATTATTTTACGATTAATTTAGTCGCAGCGTACCATCTGATCAGGAAATTGTGAAAAAGAAAAAAAAAGTGCTCGGCAGCACCTATTACTGTTACTAATGACTAAAGCCGGCTGTTAGAGCACGCTTTCCCAGAACAAGGGCAGAGTTGGGACACCGCAACTCTCAGCTCCGGATTGACGTTGAGCTGCGACCTGCAACTTTTGTTTTCATCGACACCACCGCAGAAAAATCAAGTTTGTATTTTTTCAACTTTTAGAGCCGCTTTTCAACCCATTTGTTGAATCTGTGGCAACCACATCTCGGGGTAATGACCCGTAGCGCAGGAAATGCTGCTGTACAGTCTCACTGTTTGGAATGGTATTGTTGTGCCTAGCTTAGTGGCCAGGAAAACAGACATTTTGTGTTTTTCTTCCTGCTTTTCTGCTTCTAAGGCCTTTTTTTTTTCTTTTTTTTTTAATCCGTGTGCAACATATAATAAAATATGGGTTTCCGAAATAATTTTTGTCACTGACTGGTTGACAAAGCAGCAAGTCCAGACAAACTTAAAAGGCTATGGAAACAACCAAAATCAAAGGAAAGAAGAAGACAGAATGACTGTTTTCTTGGTCACTGAGCTGGAAAAAACGATGTAAAGCCTGACGGCGAGAGATCAAGTTGGTATCGCAGCTTCTGCCACTCGTCGTGCCACCGAGATACAGCTGCGGCACGGTGGCCAATGGTGGCTAGCGAAGCGGTGCCCGGCGCCGTGTTCGTGAGAATAAGAAGGCATCGGCATGCTTACGAGTACCAAAGGACGCATATGCACGCACTATGAGTGTCGACAACAGACGCCACGCCACAAGGTAGCGCGATGATGCAGCTTGGCCATGGGTCGAGTGGTCCGTAATCTTTTGTGACCGGCTGTACACCATCAAAGGTGTGCAGAGATGCTCTTGAACTGTAGACCGTTAAATGCTTATAAACGCTTAGAAGTGAAATGTGTTATACATAGATGAAGTACCAAAACTTTCGGCGTCATAGTTGCCATGAGGAGCCGAGGCGGAAGACTACTGTCTTCAGGTTGACAATACTTGGCTGCGTGTGCATCGTGTTGATATTTGCACACATTTGCAGTTCATGTCGCTTACTTCGAGACTGCAGTTGAACATCTGCTACCTACTTATGAGGTCCAGAATTGCTGTATAATTGCGTGCATGTGCCGCCCTCGTGTAAGGGCTGCAGCCTCATATTTATACCAAAGTATAAAAAAACTGTTCTAAAAATTATTTGCGGATAAACCGCATCCCGCCCCCCTCCTTTTTTTCCAAGGCGCGCCAACCGTTTCTGCAGTGTGGCGCGCGCTCCGCATCTTTGCCATCCTTGCCTCACCTAGTACGCGCTGCGCTTGCGCTTTTTCCTGTGTTTCGAAGCACACATAAGAATGGTTGCGGGAGTAAAGCTTCGGAGAGCTGTCCTTTTTATGGTTTTCGTATGGTCCACAGTCGCCTTCTGCTCACGTGACAGTAGCTGCTGTGAAATCGGACACTCTGGTTTGCAAACATTGCCGTTAGGCCTCGTGAAAGTTTCGTTCTCCTAAGTTAAGGGTCTTGTGGACCCCACAACCTGAGAGCAGTGGGCGAGCAATTTTGGAACCGTCACTTATGCCCTGGAGTGTGGCAGACTTGCAACGTGTCGGAAATACTGTGTCGACAAGATCTGCATACAGCGCTGCACAAAGCGTGCGGTCCGAGGCGGGTTGTCAGTACGCTACAGCCGGTCGGCATCAAAGCGAAAGTTGAGGCGAAATTTTGCGGAATAAATGGTCGACGCGAACCCAGATAGGCGCATACTGGGCGGCTAGAAAGAGCAACTCTGGCCATTGTTGCTGCCAGTCAGACTTGAGTGCCGGGGATACCGCAGGTTATAACGGTCGAGATTGTAGTAAAGGCGCTCGCTTGAGACCCCTGTGTTCAATCACAAATACATCCACTTTTTTTTTTTTGCACATGCACGTACAGAACTATTTTGTTTTTATTCAGGTATTTGCACTTAAACTCTTTGTCCCGAAATTTGAAAAGAAAAGGAGCGGCCCTTACACGCTCTTATACAGTATTTCCAGAAACCACAACTCGCTTGAAACATTTCATGGGGAGTGCAAACATATTAGATTTTGAATTTGAATTGAATAGACATTTGATTGCTGTTCATTTCAAGACTATTCACCACTACTCAAATTTGGCCACATCCTCTGTATGTAATCTTTTTCTGTGCATCTATGTATGGGTGTACTTTGGTAAATCCCAAGAATCTGATTTGTACTGCAGAACTTTGCATGGCTGCAGGTTCACCATTCACTTTTCTTTTGCATCATTTTGTCCGCATATTTTGCTTGTTGCTCCTCCAGAGGGCCATCGACGACTGGGTGTTCATGTGCTTCTTCGTTGGCAACGACTTCCTGCCTCACCTGCCTTCCCTGGAGATCAGGTGACGCAATCTCGACGAGTTTCTTATGACAACCTTTTCTGGCACAGCTGTCTTGTGCCTCAGAAACAGCAAGGTCGAGGCTAAAAGAAAGGGTTCTAACGCAGAATGTCATGAGAAAAGCGACGCGTTACGCCTGACTGACAGACTGATCAAGGTGATAGAAGCAGTAGAGCTGAAAGTCTACTGTGTGTAAGCAATGGCTTATGCACCCGTGATGTCATGCTGTCACCCTGACGGCACGTGACACCCAAACTTGACGTTATGATATTGGGAGATGTCACGGTGTCATGTGATGTCGTAGGTCATGTGACGTTATGCCGTGATGTCATAGGTCATGCGACGTTATGCCGTCACACGATGCCACGTGACTGACATTCTGCGACACTGTGATGTAATGTGATGCTATGACGTCATGTGATGTCATGAGGTCACACGACTGTGACGTGACATTCTAGCGTCACTTGACACTTTGACGTCGCGTTACTTCACACACCACAAGGTCAGCTCATTGCGCAGTACATTCTGTGCATCTCGGAGTTTATCAAACGTAATCGAGACACGCTTGGATTTTGTATAGGAAGTGTGTCGGCTTTCGTTACAGGAAATGGCCACTATACTTACCTTCGAGCTTGGAATTAGGAATATAGTTTTTGTGCCTTGGACAGTCCTTGAACTCATTGTTTGAATCGAAGGTTTTCTAATTGCTTCGTTCTACAATGCAGACATTGGGCTTGAGGTCATTTTATGCATTCTTTTTGTACTTTTTTGGAGGAATGAACAATAGACCGATCTCGCCAAAAGTTCGGCACAAGCATGAAGCAGCCACAACTTTAGGTCGCGAGAGGCAGGTGGCGGCGCTCGAGGTGCCGTGTGTCGTCTCATGCCCTGCACGTGTAAGCCGCCTCGGTGGCTCCGAGGCGAGAGCGCCGGCCTCCGGATCCCCATGTGGCGGGTTCGAATCTTGGCCAAGGTGCCCGCACTATGACGGAGGCTTATTGCGGAGGAGGCGCCGTGTAACTGAGCTTTCGGTTGCACGTCAAAAGATCCCCAGGTGGTCCAAATTAATCCTCAGTCCTCCGCTGGGGCATGCCAGATGCCCGCCGTTGGTTTGGCACGTAAAACTCCCAAATTTGGCTTTTTTTTTTGGCTCTGCACGTGCGGAGCTCCGGTGAGGTTGGAGTACCTGCAGAGAGACTGAAGTTTTCTCGACGCAGTGCAGCAGCAGTGGCATAGCCAAACTGCCTGGTGAAATCTATTAAAGTGTCTGTTAAAAAAGTTGCATTTTGTGTTCCATTCTTTTATGTTGCCTGTGCTTCTACTGTTGAGCACTTGGTATTTTTTTTTCTTGCTCTTGTAAAACATCCTCATGAGGTGTCCAGCGTTTGAGGTGTAACGATTGACAATGATTTCAGGGAAGGGGCCATCGACAGACTCATCACGCTGTACAAAAAGGCGGTGTACAAAACGGGGGTGAGTCAGAGTTATGCTCACTCATCAAAATCTGTTTTCACGTTTTTAATTCTATGGTGCCGCAGCCCCACGCTGCTGCGGGAGTATGTGGCTTTGTCTTGTGTCTCGTTTCCACGTGCTTGGGAAAGTACAGAGCTCACCAAATTTTTCCGGAGTGCGCGAGTGACGTTTTATCTCACGGGAGAACCGCTCCACACCGTGGCTCTCAGCGAAACAGCCCGATCGGGGGAGGTCGCCCGCCAGACCGTAGACACCACAATCATCCTTTCGGCCAGCCAATTTATACTTACGGTCACCTTTTTGCACGGAGATATATGGGTGACTCTCCAAACAGTCGGCGATTAGATGATTCAATCGCTAAGCATTTGAGGTACTTACTGAATGAGGAGAAAAGTAGATTGCCTCGCAGACCAAATTGCGCGTTGTCTCCGGTCCAGCCGCGATTTCGGCTTTGAGCTAGTGGCGCCCCCGCTGTGGCCGTTGCACTCGTGTTTTTGTCGTGAAGCAGTTCTTTGGTTACCCCCGGGGTATCGGCCCCCATGAGACAAGACGCCGTTTGTGTGTTCCAGACAAGTTTGGTGGGCACTGTACATTTGACGGTGTTGGAGCGCTGTGAAAGCTACGCTAGCCCCGACAACCTAACACAAAATAGTTGACGCCGAGTATAGTTAGACAGTATTTATACTTTCCTCGTAGGCATGTGCAAATGTTTGTTTCTTGCGTACGTCGCTTCTAGTATTGTTGCGTTGAATCGGGTGTTCGAATTGAATAGTGACATTATTGGAAAATATGAGGTGTTATATTCTGGAAATTTGTCGCAATAAACTCTTTCGGTCCACTAAGTGGCCTTTGCCAGTCCGAAATCTTTATTGCCTCAAGCACGAAATGTTGCAGAAACATTCTTAGTGCCAGGAGAGCAGGCATATGTAACACATAATGCTTGCCCAAAGAATTTTTGAGTGCAACGTTTTTGTCGAGACTCATTTTGGAGTTAGGACTGATTCTGTAAAACATGCTGAAGACATGTGTTACATGTAAGACATATATTATGCAAAAGACAAGGTATTCTTTCGGCATCAAACTTCTGCTGACCTTTGCATGGCTGTAGTAAAATTTGAGTCTTTCTTTCCCGCCATGTCTCGTTGTGCAGGGGTACCTGACGGAGAACGGCTTTGTTGCTCTGGAGAGAGTGCAGCTGATAATGTCGGGCGAGTGTGGATTTTCTCTTCTTCTTGTCTCCCATTGTTTCTGCCTCTTTCTTGTTGCACGTTGCGACATGTTGCTAAGTATGGTCGTGCGTGCACCAGCATATGTTAAAAAAATGTTAAAAAATATTTTCAATATTTGCTGGCCGCGGCTAGTAATGCTCGGCTTTTTCCTTTAGCATTCTTCTTTGCGGCCGGTGCAGCAATTATTGGAGTAGAGAAGTCGAATGAACCCCGTAGCTTTTGCTGAACAGACGAGTTTATCACCTTTTATTTCTTTCTAATGTAGAATAGGCTTTTTGACTCAGAACATGTAACATCACGGATGAGATATAACAGGGAGAAATTGAATGTCGTGGATGGATGTAGCATCATGTTCGGATGTAACATCCTAGATAGACGTAGCGTCACTGATGGTTGTGACCATTAGATATATGCAACCTCATGGACTGAGCATACATCCTTTTCTGCTAGATTTAGCCAAGAAGGTTACCACGTCATATGATGTGATCTTGTATCTGAAGTCACATGACACCGGGACACTTCTGAAGATATTCTACACTCACAGGAGCTTAGTAGGAGCCCAGGCAGTTTTTCTTCTCTCTTGTTCTGACTTTCTTCAGGGCCAGGAGTATTGACCAGTCTTAAGTGCGAAACACATGTATGTACGACGAAACCGTCCGATCCGACGTGCGGACTGCCGGAATGACCTTGGGGGGAGAGGGTTTTCGTAGCATTGGAGAGCGTTGAAAACCCTCGCCTCCGACCGTCGTATTGCGCGGTCGGACGTCGGATCGGACGGTTTCGTCGTACATGTGTTTTGCGCTTCAAACTCTCGCTTGCCTGATGTGTGAGAGAGTGAAAAATATGTTGAGACCCTAATGACAAAACTAGGGGAGCATCATCTTAGCAATGTTTGTATTTGGGCGAGTCTGTGTGTTACAATTAAAATAAAATGGCTAAAAAGAAAGACACACGGACAAGGAGAACAGATGCAGACACGACACTGACTGTCAGCTTGTTTTTTTTTCTCTGTTTAGTTGCATGACATTTACCAAATATCCCAACTGGCTTGACGAGGGCATTTTCCGCCTCTGTCCCTTTCCGGTTTTTTCTTTTATATATTTGTATTTTAGAGTAAAAGCAGTCAGTGCTATGTCTGTGACGCTTTTTTGGATGTTAGAGTGCACAAAAGCAGATGCAAAAGTTGCACAGGCACACAAAAAGGGGGACACTCACGCAGCACTCACTTAAAACTGTTTCTTTAATTTCATTATTGTTTACTCTTCTTTAGTGCATTAAAAGAAACAGTTCAATATCTCTTTCTTCAAAATTTTTCTTTGTGGCGTGATTACTGTTCCTTCCTAATGTGGTGCAGTTGGTTAGATGTGCAGTACAACCGCAATTTTGCAATGAATCCCTAGCTGTCCAGAATTGGCTTTGGTAATGTTGTCTCCAAGTCGGTCATTGAGACAATGTCCAGTCTGCCTATGTAGTGTCATTTGTGCATTGTCGCATCGGAGGTATTAACAACCAACTTGCCCAAACTGCAGTCTCCTTGAAACTAAAGGTGTGCGGGCGAGCTCGTTCAATACTGTCGGGCTGTCCATCCTGTTTTCCCCTCGCTCCTTGCTAACCATGCACGCCTGTCCCCACGTCTTTTTGCATTCTTTTGCTGTTTGTGGAACATCTGTGTTCCAGATATGGCGACTGAGGAGTTCTGAACTTGCGCGATGTTAAACGATGCCTTGCGTTGCAGAACTGGGCGAGGCCGAGGACGAGATCTTCAAGCGTCGTCAACAGAACGAGGTGCCCCTTTTGCTTCTGTCGACCTGCAGTTAGCTTTGGAGCGTCCGGTCTAGGGTAGAGAATAAGGCTAGATAAGACCCTCTCAGAAATTCAGGGCCCTCTAGTGGCTCAAATATCGGCCTAAATTTTTGTAAGTTAATGACAGTTAAAATATGGTGTCTATTCATCGAGGGCAGATGTACAAAAGTTTGTGTTTTTCATCGAACAGTTATTTCTTTCTCTACACAGTTTAGTTCCAGTAGCGTGAAGAAACTTTCATTTTGTATGAGGAGCGTAATACGAGTAAATCAATTTATAACGTTCGGCACCTTTTATTGTCACAGGCTGTCTGGGGCATGCCAAAGCCAACCATTCCAAGGATTTCCGCGACACCCTCGAATGTGTAGCGCATAGAAGCTCATAAGTCTCGTGCGAGTTGCTCGCGCGGCAGTAGAAGGCAGTGCTTCTCTTCTCGTAATTGAAGACGGAGGATCAGAACTCGTCATCCAATGTGGAAGTTCTGTAGAGTGGCTCCTGTTCAGTGTCTGACATTGCCAGAACGTTGATGGGAAGTGGACACGCGAAAATGAAATTGAATGGAAGAAAGGTGACACCTTTTCGCCTTCGAGGTTTCCCTTCGATACTTTCTCTTAACGTTGAAGAACTCTTTGCTTAGGGTAGGGACAGTTGAGGAAATTTGGGAGCTTGAGGAACGGGTATCCCGAGGAGAGTTCTTAGGGACTCGACTTGAGAACCCACTGTGTAGACAAAGCTACAGTTTGCACTGCAAACACCTTTGCAGTTCCTTTTATATATATATATATATATTTTTTTTTTTTTTTTAATTTGACTCGCTTTATTAATTATGTCTAGCTTGAAACTTGATGTCGGTACTCTAGTTGAAAAAGTTTTTACAGCATCGGCTGTACCGGGCGGGCGTCGCGTTGCCGAAAACAAACGGAGCATGGGCGCGTTTGTCGTAGGTGGCTTTGGTGCCGGTAGAGGGCGAGTACAGCAGGAACACCCTTGCCCTTTCACCGACGATAGTCGCAGTTGACGTGCAGGGCATTCGGCCAATCGCGATTGTGCCGGGGGTCATGAGATCACGCTCTTCTCCACCCAGTCTTCCTCGCCTTCGGTTGCCAGTTCCCCCGGTGCTCTCAGCCTTTGCAAAGGCTCAAGGCTCTGTTATACTCCGACGTAACACGCGCGCAAGCAAACGCTGGCCGAAGTCTGCTACGTCACGTCAATCGCGCCGCGCGCGTAAAAAATTCGCCCTCTTTACACTCCGGCGGCCCTGGCGACTCCCGCGGCTGTGCATTTCCCACAGCTGTGCGTCTCCCGCGGCTGTGCGTCGGTGGGCCGCTGGCGTGGCGCATGCGCAGAGTCTGACTACGAGGGCGCGTTTCCTGCGAGAGTGTGCCACTTCCGGTTCCTTTTCGTTTCAAATAGCAGACGAAAATGCTCGCGCTTCTTGAGCGCCAAGTTTGAGTGATGGCGTGGACGTACCTTGCACGACGAAAACTCGCGCTTGCACTGTTGGTGCACTGCCTGCACTGCAAGCGTAGGTGGTCAATGTACATGCGGTACATCTTTCACAAGTGCCCGGTCTACAGTACTCAAGCTTCCTCGTGTCGTAAACGCACGGGTGAGGACGAATTCCCTCGATCAACTCCTCGACCGGTCGAGTCCGATTCTTGAAACATGACGCCACACGGAGTGGTGCTCCCGTCGTCTGCTATTGCTTGTATTCGCCGCGAGGGCTACCGGGAGCCAGCGCGTGATGCATCCTGGTCCGACGTCGCCGGCCCGGCCGGCGCGGAATACGGCATGCTCCATTTTGGTGTCAAGGCGGTCAGGCTGCGTCAAACGCCGCCGGTCGCGTCGGTTACGCCACGACGCCGGAGTATAGAGCGTCGGGTTTTCGCCGACGTGACGTCGCTGTGACGCGCTCGCACGCACGCACGCACGCTTTACGTCGGAGTATAACAGCCTTCAGAGCCACAAAAGACGGCTGTCGGCGTTTCTTTGCATCTCATGGCGTGATTATCCACGCAAGCCTTTTCATTGCCCTTCTCGTTGTCTCATTTTCTTTGCTCGTTGTTGCAGCTCAACTTCAAACGAAGGATGAAGGAGAAGAAGAAGAGGATGAAAATGGTACGAGCTTACCTCACTTTTCGTGGCATCTGGCGTCTAACTGTTGTCTTCGGTGTTGCCCATTTGTTTGCTTGTTTCTTCTGCAGGAAGCAGAGTCTGAAGCCAGGCCTGCATGGACTCCACGTGGGCAGTTTGCACCAGTGGTGAGTGCCAATCGTAAATCAGTCGAGCATTTTTAGGGCCAGCTCTTAATTAAAGGGGACACAGACAGGGTTTTTATGCTCACCAAGGTTTTTATTTGTACACGACATACGAGGGCCCAACTACCCAGAACGCAATTTGTGGCTCAAAATATGTTTTCTTTTCACCCGAAAACCGCCGATTGAGAACTGGCCAGTTTGAGTCGCGCTCACTCTTCGTGCCTTTTTCAATGGTTTAGACATTAGCTCCAAAGATAATCAAAGTCGTGGGTCATCAAAGGCACACACTTAATATAAAAAAAATGGAAAGGAAATATGATACCCATTTTTCGTGGCTTCTAAAACTGCAAATACGTTCATTAGAGAAAAAAAAAAGTTACACAGCCCCATGACTTGTGCCAACTCTCTCCTCCTCTATATTTCTTCTTCCTCCCCAGTCCAGCTTCAGTTTCAGTTTCGAGCAGTTGTATCTTTTGACTTTATTATAAATATATGTGGCACTGTAGCAAAATATTGATTGGGTAGCCTTCTGACACCATAATAGATTGCCTGGCAAAAAATGAAAAAAAAAGATTGTGGGGCGTCAGTATCCCTTTAATGATGGTTCACTCGCTACTGCTTACGATCGTGAGCCTTAAAATGTAAAATTTCTTTCAACGAGAGAATACACTAGCACCACCTATCGGGTAGCTGTGGAACACTCGCAGTTTTCATATGTTTCGTTTTTTTTTTTTGCACGTCATTGTTTCTTTTTTGGTTGGAGAAACTTTCAGCGCGACCGTAACAAACATCTGTTTCTCATAGTATGTATGTTTGATCTCGCAAATAGTACTGCAAAACCTTCGCTCTAGTTAATGCAGTTCTAAGATTACGTAGCAGACAGCAGCAGCTTGCCATTGTGTTCTCTCGTCATAAGGCTTCCCAAAAGCTCGGTCCTGAGCAAACGCGAGCGTGCAAACGGTTGGTTTGCAAGTCGTTCAACGGTGCTCCTGTTTGCAGGCTGTGGGCCAAGCGGTGGGTGCCACCCAAAACGCCCGTCGGGAGGCGTACGACATGCGCCGGGAGGGCATGGACCACCGCCGGAACCTGAGCACAGGGAACCTCGCAGCCAACGGACCCCTCGAGTCTATGCTCAGACCCGTGAGTGCACGCTCGAGCGCTCCCTCGTCTCCACACCCTTCCCTAGGGCACAGGGCGTGCTCAGCAGAGACTCGTCGGGGCAGACCTTGATAGCGACGAAGACTTTGGTCTGTTGTAAAAGGAGTGTGCAGAACGCGAATGCTCGTAGTACAAACCTTGACGTGGATTGCGTCTGGAATCTTTTCTAACCGGTGATACTGACGAGTTTGAATGGATGTTGAAGAGCTGGTTTATTGAAACTTCTAAACTTTGAAAGATGGGAATTTTTTGTTGAGCTGTACTGACTATCGTAGTCGCGTGGCGCCGAGCGTGATAACGGCGGTTCATAAAATGGGTGCCGCCATTACTGAATCAAAGCTGCGTAGTTCCCAAAGTCCTCTTGGCGCGCGCTTCAGTAGCCTATTCTGTCGTCCAAATGGTGCTACTGAGAAAAAAAAGAAGCTAACAAACGCATAAAAATGTCTTGTCATGGCGCCTGGGCACACACTCTTTCTGCTCGGAGCGTGTTCTCTGACCTTGACGTATACTGGCTCGCCTTGTTGCTTTAAACTCTGTGTTTCCAGTTAGCCGAAGCCTTGTCTGAAATCGCAGGAATGTCAAGATTCTGGCAAGGCACAAAGACAGAATTTCAGAGAAGTTTGGGAGACAGATTGTGCGAGCGAAGCCTCTATTATAGGTTAAAAAGAAAAGAGTGTGAATATTGTAAACAGCTTTGCGTATGGAGGTAATTGAAGGCAGTTACGTACTAGCCCCGCTATCGACCTTGTTGTAAACAGCTTTATTTTCACGAGCTCGGTATTTTACAAAGTTTGAGAAAAGTGGGTTTTGGTTTTGAAAATATTTTCCGGAGTGGCGTGCGACAAACTCGTTATCACAGTGTAATGTATTCAAGCAATCTATTTTTCGCAATATTAGAGTCGCGCAATTCGAGAAAGTCAGGTCCTAGTGAAAATTAACTCACACCAAGATAAATAGGCACTTCTAGGTGGCTTTTATTATACGTGCTTTCTCGATAAACTTTGGTTGGGTGTGGGCATCATATTGTTCGACCGGTCTTGTTCTCGTCTCTTCCTGCACCTTTTCTAAACTTCTAGGGTGTAACTCCAACCCTGCGGGTGTTTCACGCTTTTGACCGCTTCGTGACGTTCCTGGATCGGCGAGCGTTCACGGACTCATTTTTGTCTTCCCTGGCTGCAGGTGCAGAGCGAGGGCGACGTTCAGGGGGTGAAGCGGAAGCACGAGGGTGACGACAGCTCCGACGAAGAAGAGCCGCACGACGAAGTCAGGTGCGCCAGCCTCACTCCCTCTGTCCGCTCTTGCGCGGAGTCAGGGTTGCTATGTACTTTAAGGCCCACTCACAGACTTGCGCAGAGTCAGGGTGGCAATGTAGTACTTTAAGCCCCGTTCACAGCTTTGTGCAGAGTCGGGGTTGCTATGTACTTTAGGCCCTATTCACAGACTTGCGTGAAATCAGGGTTGCTATGCACTTTAAGCCCCATTCACAGACTTGCACAGAGTCACGGTTGCTATGTACTTTTAAGGCCCATTCTGAGAGTTGTGCAAAGTCGGGGTTGCTATGTACTTTACGGCCCGTTCACAGAGTTACATAGAGTCGGGGTTACTGTGTACTTTAAGGCGCGTTCACAGACACTCGGGGAGTCAAGGTTGCTACCGTAAAATACCGAGCAAGCGCCCACTCAAAATTACGGAATAATCGCGGAAAACTCGGGAATGGGCTCTTGTTAGGTCCGAGAGCAAAAACGCAGAAGGATAGCATAGTCGGGTGGGCCCTTGCTCGACTTGACCGCCGAATTCAAAATGGTGGCCATTTGATGATAAGGCATCATCAACCTCTTCACTGAACACCGGCGCCCCCGTCACTCCGCTTGCGTTTCAGCCGTGATCTTCGGTGGTTCTGTTGCAGGAGCAGTTCGTACTTTGAGTCCCACTCGTGCACTCTTTTATGGTCAATCTTGAATTCACGCGATGTCCGGCTTACATTTTTTCCGTGGCGCCTATGCCACTCAACAACTTCGACTTTCCTAGCAACCGTATACGAGTGCATCGTCCAAACACGCGAACCGAGCGAACGCAAGCAATGCAGCGCGATAAACACGGAACTAACCGAACCACCGAACAACAAGCGAAAGCGGAGGGGCGAATGGAAAGCTCTGTGCGGCTTTCCATTCGCTAGATCCTTCTTTCCAACGTAGTGTATCTTCACTGCTTCACTCTTGCCACAGCGCCCTACCCTCTCTTCCTTTGTACACCAGCTCGCCTGTATCTTTTGTTATTTCTTCCATTGACCTCTATTCCCGCGGCGCCCGAGTGTTGCCGTATTGCCGCGGAGCCCTTCGCCCGATTCCCGCGGCGCCCTTTGCCCTCTTCGCCCGCGCTGTCGTGACTCATAACTAGTGCCGGTCGCTTCAACTTCAGGAGATAACGGCCGTCCGCGGCGACTGGGCGCTTGCCATGTCCTTCACATATTTTTTAAAATTTGCCTAAAATGGGGGTGGGCGGTTGATGTGTCCTCTGTTTGTTTTTGAGATAGTTCGAAAATAGGGGGTGGGCCCTTAATGTGACATGGGCCCATGCTCGGTATTTTACGGTATGTACTTTAAGCCCCGTTGACAGAGTTCTGCGGAGTCGAGGTTGCTATGTACTTTCAGGCCCGTTCACAGAGTTGCATAGAGTCGGGGTTGCTATGTACTCTAAGGCCCGTTCACAGACACTCAAGGAGTCGGGGTTGCTATGTACTTTCAGGCCTGTTCAAAGACCTCGGGGAGTTGGGGTTGCTATGTACTTTAAGCCCAATTTGACAGAGTTGCACGGATTCGGAGTTGCTATGTATTTTTAGGCCCGTTTGCAGAGTTGCAGAAAGTTGGGATTGCTATGTACTTTAAGGCCTGTTCACAGACTCGCACGAGGTCGGGGTTGCTGTGTACTTTAAGGAGTGTTCAGACAGTTGCGCTTAGTCGGGGTTGCTATGTACTTTAAGGCCCGTTCACAGACACTCGGGGAGTCGGGGTTGCTACGCCCTGCAATCATATTTAAGCGTGTACCTTTTTTGCTGTTTCCACGTCTCTTGGGGTTCGGGCAAGCCAGCGGGCACGGAGAGAGTAACTAAATATCAGTGAGTCATATTTTAACCGGACAACGCGGAAATCTCCTTTACTGACGGGGGCGACCTGCGGTGCCGAAAGCGGGCGATGTGTGACGTCTTTGGTCCTGGCTTACTACTGGTCAGAGCCGCTAAAAGCTTTTTTTTAATCGAAATACAAAATATAAGTGTCGCAAACTGTTTCAATAATTTATAAAAGTAGATTTTGTTCAGTATTTTGGATCAGAAAACAAACAAATGCAGTTTATAAAGTATGGAAACAAGAAAGGACCCGCCGACATACCCCCCACCAAGCGGTGGAAAAGGCGGCGCACACTAGAAAGGAGTAGTGGGATCAGGCGCTGACATGGAAAGGTCCCGGATGTGCGCGGCGGCGCTGCGGTCGTTTATGGACTGGAGGATCCGACCGGCTCCGAGCGATCCGAAGGCCTTCGGCAAGCAGCTTTGTCTTGCTTTTTGGCCATTTCGCGGTAAGGCAGCGCGAAGTGGCTCCCATTCTGAACTGATCTTTACTCCATGTTTGCTGTCGTTTGTGGGCAATGAAGTGTCATGCCGAATTAGTATTCAATCGCGCAGCAAATGCAATGAGAGCCGCTCTGGCTGCCCGCTGTATTCAGCCTATCCAGAACATGCTTTAGCGGCAGCCGTGAGCGCTCGCTGAGCTCACTACCCCTCCTCTAGTTCACAGCCATTGAAGCAACCAAGGACGTCATGAAGGAGGTTATTTTTTGCTTGTTTTTGTTATCTTAGCTTGCCTATAACTTTTAAACTAAAGCGAAATTTGAGAAAAGAAAAGTTTCTTTGAGTTACTACATTCAGTGTGCTCAATATAGGTGCAAATCAAGAACCAGCAAAAAAGTCCTTGCAGGGCCCCTTTAGGGCCCGTTGACAGACTTGTGCGGGGTAGGGGTTGCTATGTACTTTAAGGCTTGTTCGCAGAGTTGCGCAAAGTCGGGGTTGCTATGTACTTTAAGGCGCGTTCACAGACTTGCGTGGGTTTGAGGTTGCTATGTGCTGTAAGGCCCATTCACAGACTTGCGTGGGTTTGAGGTTGCTATGTGCTGTAAGGCCCATTCACAGACTTGCATTTCCTTACGGCCGAGTTCCTACAATCTCTCACGACGTGTGAACAAACTGTCACGCCGGGGCCATCTGTGAGGTGACCCCGAAACCGCATTTCGCTAGCTCAAGAATTTTGCAGTAATTGTGAGACCAAATGTATATACTGTCTGTGAAAAATGGCCGTTTATAATGAGGGTTCTGGAACCGGGTTCCGCAGAGCACCCTTGGCTGTTCTATGAGCTCGCCAATTTCCTCGACCCTCCCCACCCTTGGGTTTTGTGGCTTACCAATTTGAGCACTCCTTTAGCAGATCGGTGCCACTCAGCGATGCATGACTATGTGCCAAGCGCTTTCCAGTGTGGGTGTTATCGTTTACAAGGCCTGTAGACTCTTGTTCAGCGTTACCGCATCAATGCCAAGACCAGTAAGGGTTCCTCAGCTCCCATCCAAGGCAGATGAGGGTTCCTCAAGATAAAAAGGCTCGAGGACCGCCGATTTATACATAGCCCAAAGATATTCGAGCCGAGAAAGTGAGAATGATGGGCAAAAACTTGGGAAATGTACAGAAATGCTGAGGGGTCCATGGGTACCCATGGATTGTTTGGAACACTTACAACCTGCGAATGTTTCACACTTTGTTTTTCACCGTGTGCTCGAAGTAATTCTGGCAATGTTAGAAAAGACCCTTTCTCATTGATGGTGTCTGGGTTTTATTTTACAAATGAAACCGGGACACCCCATTTTACAATCCTTCAGTCTGGTTATATGCAGATCGGACGGGTTCCTGGGCTCGTCATAAGTGTCCCCAAGCAGCAACGATGCACTTGAATTGCATGCAAATGCAAATGTGGGAACCAGCCTTTGGAGGAAGTTTAAGTGTTTATTTCCATAGGTGTTTTTTCCCTGGCAGAATTAACTGGAACGCTGCAACACTAGCTCTGTAGCTAACAAAATAAGTACTCTGTCTATAAGAAGAGTATGCCTGTGTAATGATGCTGACAAAGACTGGTAAACACAGAATGTGCGACAGGCCTTCCACTTATCGACGCTCGTCTGCAGGGTACCGGGCAAAGGCTCTTCCCGCTGTTTCTGCCATTTCTTACGTTCTCGATAAGTTCACCTCTCTCTTGTAGAAGGTGAGAGTGGCACCTGGATGGCATGGCTTTGCTACAACGCGAGTGTGTCGAGGATTCGCTCCCATTTCTGAGTAACACCGCAAGATGGCATAACACGACATGCCCACGCGCTTCCAAAGCTACAAGGCAAGCGACCATGCCGTCTTTGAACGTTGCGCGAAACTGTCTCTCTCCGCATTGAGAGCGAACGCCATCCCTCGCTAGCCCGGTCGGTAAAGCACTTGGCTCACAATCTCAAACTGGCGAGTTCAAATCATACCGGGGGACTGAAGTCTTTTTATAAAGTTTGCTTTGGGCGTAACGCTTTCAGCGTTGGTTTTCCGTTACAGCCAAACGTTACACACAAGGCGTTGCTTACCTCTGTGACAAATGCGCGATTAAACGCATCCCGCATTAAAACGTTTCTTTTGGCCGTGACGGCTAATGCTGGGTACCCTCCGTCTTCATGCAGGCTGTGGGAAGACGGCTGGAAGGAGCGCTACTACGTGTCCAAGTTTGACATCAACTCTGACAACGTGGCTTTCCGCCACGAAGTGGTACGTTACTCCTTGCAGGAGTGCCTCGTACCGGACGGCTGCGTGTAATGAACTTCCACAGTATGAATCGAGCCGTCATATGCTGTCCCGTTTTCTGCTCCGAGGAATATGGTCACCCTAGTGAGAATGCAATTGTGCATCGAAATAAATGTCATAAATTAAATTAAGAACAGTGCATTTGTGATACGAAATCTGTTTCTGCGCACATTGCAGGCCACGGCGTACGTGGAGGGCCTCTGCTGGGTCCTGCGCTATTACTACCAGGTGAGGGCCACGTCTCGCCACTCTCCCAATCTTTGCCTTTCACGAGTACGTGAAATGTTGCAGAGACAGGTTAACGGAGTCAATCATTTCCTTCCGCAAGGGCTGCGCTTCCTGGAAGTGGTTTTTCCCGTACCACTACGCCCCATTCGCCTCGGACTTCATCAACGTTGGCGACATCAAGATCAACTTTGAGCGGGACACTCAACCTGTGAGTGTGCACTTATGAGGCAGTTTCCACTGCTGTTATAACATTTCTTATATATATTACAGTTGAGGCTATCGAGGTTTTCTTAGTATTACTTGTAATTCTTAGTTGCCAAGCCCAGTTGGCTGTGTACCAGCTTGAAAGGTGATTGCTCAGCTTCCTCAGTATTTTGTTTTTGTCGCCACATCATTTGTGAAATTACCTTTGTAATAAAGTGTACTCAAAGTCAGTCAGTTGCACGGTGTTGGAGAGGGGCTGTATCTATTGCTTTACAGTTTCTTGAAAGCATCCTATTCTAAACGGGCAAGTAAATGTTGAACCCCATGAGCTACAATGCTTTGTAAATATGTCTGAGCAGCAGCAATTTGACAACTGGATAAAATAGGGTGAATTGAAGGTAAAGTGCTTGAAAAATTGCAAGACATTAGAATTTGCTTTTTGAAATTTCTGCATTGGAACCAGCAAATGGGAATTTAACTCTCAAAAACCTTCCTTTCATCTTTTTTTTTTCTTTTTTTTGGGGAGCATAACTTGAGGTGTTTTAAGACTTCTATTGATGTATTTTTCTGAAAAGAGTTTTATTAGATTATATAATGATGCACCAGTTTTCATGCAGATTTCAGATATGCAGTTTGATATTGGATATCTCCTAAAACCAAAGTTTCTGGTGAAGTGCTGTAACACCTTGAGTCGTCGCCCACCCCCCTGCTGCCTGAAATTCATAAAAAAAAGTGTGCTGGGTAAACACAAAAGGTTCAGAAAAGGCTAAACGCCCATTTTTCTGTGTGTATGTAGCACGGCTGCACAGATGATGCATTAAACTTAAAACTTGAATTAGTTTCATTGTTGTATACAAGAAATGCTCATGAAAGAATGTTTTACCACCTTAAAGTATGTTCCTTGCATACGTGTAGTGAAAACTGCTGATCGGCATGCAGAGCCAATGTTTGTTCCATAAAAGCACGCTTCTAACACCACTATGTTCTTTTCATTAGTAAAAACAAAAGAGAGTAAACGAGAAAATAGAAAAACCAACCAGGCACAATGAGCGAGTGAATAGAAGAAGCAACGAAGAGAGATGCCAGGGAAGCGGAAATGCCGGCGATCGCATTGGCAAACACTTTGGCGTAGGGCCAAGTTGGGCGCCTTGTCAATCGCAAGGAGGAGGCTCTTGTTCAACTTTCTTGTTCAATGCGTACGCGTGTGCATCTGTGCATGGCATGCTACCGCCGTGGTTTGATGCGTGCACGGCACTAGAACACGGAGCTCAAAATAGGACGCTTCACAAACGTCGGTGTGCGGCGTTCCAGAAGAACTTTATTTACCCGTTGGCTTCATCTCAAACATTCCGCAACCTTACCAACCGGGATCGCGACGTTCTGGGAGAATGACTGGGTATTCGTGGCGACCTTATTTTGGTGGAGATGAAACTTGACCTTACGCTCCACGGTGACATTTTTCCAGGATATGGGGCATTCGCTGATCTTGCAATCCCTGAATAGGTTACTGCTTGTGTTGTCTTTCTGACTTTTCTTTTGTTCGAACAAACTTTTTAGTAAGCCAGACAAAGTTTGAATCTGTCATCTCCATCGTTTTCGTTTTGCACGCATGTACTTTGTCTAGTGGTTCACGGAATTAGGAGAGGGAATCGCTAAACAAAGTGAAGAATCTTTCCCTCCTTCGTTCCACATTGCCACAGACGTCTTCCAACCGTGAGGTCTGGGGCCGCATTATGCGGGTAGGATAAATATTTGCGTATGGGGAGTCTGCGTTGGAATTTGGTAGGGGTGGGGGCGATCACTGTGTGTTTTTTGGGAAATCGATGTTGTCCCAAAATGTGGGGTGAGCAATGACTCGGGATTTTACGGTAGATATGTCACTACATGGTAATTTCTTGCGTTTCATTAGAGAAACTTCCTCTGGGCATCGCAAAATATCAGAAACGATTTGTGGGTCCACATTCGGAAGGATTCAGCTTGTGGGAGTTCGCTATTTTGCGTGTGGTACCATGTACTGTTTTGTGAGTCGACGCACTTGAGACATTGAGTGTTCCTCGATTGCAGTTCAAGCCCATGGAACAGCTGATGAGTGTGTTCCCGGCTGCCAGCAAGCAGCATTTGCCTCCTGCTTTTGGAGATCTCATGGATGACCCAGTGAGTATGCCAGCATCAACACATACCGTATTTACTGGCGTAATAATTTCACTTTTTTTTTTTCGGAAAATTGACACACATCTGGGGGCGCAATTGTTGCATGGTTAAAACTTTTGTGCATTTTATTAATGTCATTTAAGGTGCCGATATGACAAGGCAGGGTACTGTGGCACGTCTCCACTGACGGAGGTGCACCCACGGCTGGTTGTGTGCACGCCACATTAACCATGCTCTACAGGGGTTCTCAAACTGGGTTACCCGGAACAGAGGGGTTCCGCAAGCTGGCCTCATGGCACCCAACATGCAGTGCCCCCCATGCCCCCCCCCCCCCCCCCCCCCCCCCCTAGTTCAACCTTCCACAGACTGAGATTGAGTTGGTGTTGCAGAAAAAGCAACTGCACCCTTCGCACTAATATGTATATATGTACCGTATTTGCTCGAATATAACGCTACCTCGAATATAACGCGAGGGCACGTTTTGATCCCCTCAAAAAGAAAAAAAAAAACTATTATAGCGCGAGCCGAGGCCACGTCAATTTCTCGCACTCAGGGGCATAGCAGAAGTGAAAAGTCAATGGAAATAGAAGAAATATAATTTTATGTTTTGACTGCACTCATCCTCACTGCTCAGGTCCTTCCGTTTACAATCCACTTGGCAACTACGCAGATAAGCAGCAGCATGGCACCGCTTGTCTGGTAGTTCCTTTTTCTTCGGCGTGAGCTCCTCAGCAGCCCACAATCCAAGCAATGCACGAAGCAGAAGCACCAACACACAAACACCAGACCACTCTGGAGCATTAACTAAAAAATGCGCAGGCAGAAGAAATACTGCTGAACCCGATACACAACCACACTTCTTGTTCTGGTCCCGCTGCATAAACAAACGCATCGTGTTGCACGATTGCGGAAACGTGGTCGGTGGTCTTGGCTTGGCTTGTGTTGACTTGGACCTGCTTGGCTTGGCTCGGGTTGGCCAGTGCCCGCATTCCCGCATGGCGCGTGTGCCGAGTTTCTGCGGCATGCGCGTGTTGTACAAACACAAAAGCGATAAAAAATGTTTTTTAGGGGCGAAGCTGCTTAGGGTCTAGCCTTGTCCGGCGTCCGTGCTCACATTGATTACCATCCCATCTGTCTTCTTGAAAAAAAGAAAAAATGTTTGCGCAGTCGACAGGATTCAAACCTGTGCGGGGAGACCCCAATGGATTTCTAGTCCATCGCCTTAACCACTGGGCCACGACTGCGGGACAAGTAGGGGGCTCTGAGATGTGGTAGCAACTCAAGAGCTGGGTTTTCTCTCATGGATGAAACGTTGCATGTAGCCGCTCAACGTCTATACAGGAGAGGGCGCTGCGGTCAAATGCGTATATAATCGGGTTAAAGTTTGCATGCACTGGCTCAACGTTTATAGACGAGAGGGCACTGCGGTGAAATGCTCAAATGCGTATATAACCACGATCCATACCCCACATTCTCTTTCTGACATGGATTGTTGACTTAAGCGGTGGAGATGGGTTCCCACGGCTTCTAGCGGATCCGCTAGAAGAACCACTGGCTCTGCATTTCACCGACCATAAAGCAGTAATAATGAAGTCGAAACGCAACCCGGAACTCAGCACTACCTATGAGTGATAAAAAAAAAAAAAATCAGCACTACCTATGAACAATAAAATCGGTATCATCAGCACCACCAGGGCTTCGCTCCAATCAAAATCATTCACCACGTGGAGATGCGTCCATTTCTTTAATGTTTTCTATTTGCCCCTTCACGAGGCCCAATAGCTAATAAATTCCCTTCCACACCCCCACTTCTTTTCCCGCCGGATCTCTTGCATTGAGCCGGAGGGATGTCTTTCTCCTCTGGCTTTCTCCAGACTCGCACGCCTCGTGGCTGAACTTGATTCCAAATATAACGCGAGGTGCATTTTGGAGTATGTAGTCTCTGCCTTCTTATTCTGTCTGTTTCTCTGCCTTCTTATTCTGTCTGTAGTCCTCCTTTTTGTCTTATTCTATCAGGGTTTCTTGGGACTTTTTGAGGCTTGCTGGATATTCCTGGGACAAAAAAAAGTTTGAGAACCCCTGCTCTATAAATTGCTAAACTTTCTTGGACGCCTTCAGCATTCCTTTTGTCGAAGGAATAGCACTACGGAGCTCACTCGGCAAGGAGAGTGACGCAACCGTTCTTAGGCGTAACCTCCTTTACGATTTCACTGTCCGAAAGTGGAGCACAGACGACAGCGTGTTTTTTGACATCAATGCATCCAATGGACGAAACATCTCCGGGATCTGGGCAATTCCTCGACCCTAGCAGCGTTAGCTGTACGCGCCGCTCGGTTTCGCTGTTGATCACTTCTGCAATTATGCACTTGCAGCCATTACATGCATGTTTACTGCCATTACGTGCATGTTTACTGCCATGCTTGGCTTAGCTTGGCCTGGCCGCTCGGTGGCAAAAGAAAATTGGCTCGGTGAACATGGCGACTGGCTGAGTTGGCTGCAGTTTGCGACTCACGGGGCTGGAAATCGGAAAGGCATTTATTACATGAGGGAAAGAAAGTCTAAATGTTGATGTTTGTTGTGGGTGGTGCGTTCATTAGCATGTGTTCATTATGCTAGTGGATACGGTATCTTCTCTAGAAACGGCAGGTGCCACCTGGGGAATATCAGAAGGGACATTCCAAGAGTGGCGTTTTCTGGTGGCCTTTTCGGCGGCATGCCTGCCTCGACCCATTACTTGGAGGGAGGAGAGTTATAGTGACATTATAGACATTATAGACATTTTTGTGGCTCTGAAAAATAAATGTGATTGGGAAAAATGTGATTTCCTTTTTGGAATGCAGATCTGCAGAAGCGCTGGTTGTGTTTTTAGAAGGATGCAGCAAACTTTTACTTTCATACTTAGTGCATAAAAATAGATTGGAGGTAAAGCTTTAGATTAATTCCATTGCTTTTTTCTAACCAATATTTAACATTAAGAATGCTTTCTTCTTTGTGCAGAGAAGATAAAAAATGATTTATTTGCATTGCTGGTTTGTAAACCATATTTAGGGGGAGGCACGGCCTTAAAGGGGCACTGACACATCAAAATCGTAATTTATTTTATTATCCGAAAGGATTGAAAATGATGCCGGGACATTACCCTCAAAATTCGAAACTTGGAAATTCAGTATTTGTGAATTAAAAAAACAATTTCCAAATGCCGAATTTGAAGTTCCCGCGCGATCCGCGCCAGTGCAGTGAGTCAAATTTTGCGGTCTTCTGCGACTCGACTTTCTTTCGGACCTCCGCACCACACCGTGAAGCAAAGCGCCGTTGCTACCGTGACCCGAAGAGAGGAGGAGGTGAGCGGGCGGGATAGAAGGGAGCCGGCGCGAGGAAAAACCAGTTTGTTCCCCGACTCGGCGATAAGCCTCTGTTCGAGCGCCGCCAAGTTTTCCGAGGGAGAACACAAATCCACCAAAATCTGATTTTTGGTATTTCAAAAAGAAAGGCCGTAGTGCGTTCGTCATTGCGTTAAAAAACATGTTTTACGATTGCCGTTATTAAATGTTATAGAAATTTCACCTACAAAGCTTCTAAATTTCCTGATTTTTGACGTCACCGATCAAAAGAAGCAAGGAGGTGAGCGCGAGAAATATAAACGCCAAAAATAAAAAGGCGCGCGCGCGAGCGGGAAAATTGTTTTTCGCAATGCGTTTTTTTTTGCGTGTCTATGACTACAACTTGCATCGTTTTAGACAATAAAAAAGAATACGACCTTTGGGGTGTCAGTGCCCCTTTAAAATCATAATTTTTTGAAAAAGTCATGTTTTTGAAAAAGTCTTATCAGCTTGTATAACTCCCGAAGAATGATGTGAAAAAGTTTTATTCCTGTAGATCCAGTATTTAGTCCGAAATAAGTTATTTCTGATGTGCCGGCGGCCGAGAGCGCTTCATAAAACTGCACGCGGTCACACCAATTTACCATTCTCAAAGTGCGCTCGCTCCGCATTCATTAGGTCTAGCACAGACAGGCACCCCTCATTAGAAAAAGTGCTTAGCCCTCCTTCTTTTGGTATAGAGCTCCTTGTGAGATGTTGTGCGCACCAAACGTGAAACCGCATAGAAAACAGCACCGCACGCTCTCTTGTTGGCCACACTGGTGAATAAGGAAGCCCGATTCGCTTAAACCTGCCACAAGACCCAATACTCCATGCAGCGTGGAGTGTATATGCCAGTCTCCTGCATCAACGCATTGCCTGCATTCATACCACCCCCCGACAAGGAGCCAATTCATTTCGCTTGTTCCACTGGGATGGAGTCCTGGTGCCACTTGTACGAAGCAAAGCTCTCAAGGAAGCGAGAGAATCACCAGCATCTCGGCCACATAAGCCAGCTTTTCCAAGGAGATAGCGAAGGAGCTAGTGCCCTTGTACAACCGCCTGTCACGGAATGATTTTCTTGAAAGATGTTCCCAGATGAAAACCCAGAACGGGAATGATTCTTTCAACGCCTTGCTTTGGAAGAGGTGCCTAAAGGTCGCTTCTCTAAGTACTGTACTCTCGCAGTCTTCAACCTGGATCCTCGAGGCTTTGAGAAAGTTCTTCGGATATGGGCATTGAGCCAGGGAGCCACCAGACATCACAGGCCGTGAAGGTCACTCGGACGAAGATTGCAATGGCCCAAGTGAAGGCACCGAGGCATCGCGCAAAAGACAAAAGATGGAAGCTGTGGCCAAAGCACAGAAGGACAATGCAGAGGAGAGACTGCCGTACAGTCCTGGAGCATTTTAGGTCAAGTGGCAAGTGCCATCGAAAGTGGAACACAATATAGATTTTCAAACGCGTTTTCCTCAGCTTCATGTTTTGACCATTTTTTCATTGCTCAAAAACTATCATTCGATGACTGAAGTACCTTCGTAACTGCTGTGTGGTTTTTCTGGAGTGAAATTTACTGGAGAACTCGACTATGTGTTTGCTTTTTCAAGATTGCTATTTCTTTAGCGAGAAAATGTCAACTTTTGTAACAGTAAAAATATGAATGAAATTAACCCCTTTCTCGAAGTTTACTTTAACGCTAAATATGGCGCTTAAAATTATTTGAAACCCACTACCGATTAGTCTAGTCACTCGTCCTTATATCCAAGGAAACAAATTGTGACATTTTGGTACTGTTTTGAAACTATAGTTTTTTCCCCTAGGCACTACTAGCTGCATAGTATTTTTGACATATAAGGCTGTAACTTGGCACGAAATTGACCTTTTCAGCTGAAAGTTGGTGTAGCCTCCCAAGTTTGCATGCCTAGTATACCGTGCCAATTTCATTGAAATAGCATTATTGGTTTGCATGGTTTTTATTACCAGATCTATCAGGAAGGATCTTTCCTCATATTTTTGGGTGGAGAGCAATATTTTTATTTACATCTACTACTATGAAGGGTAATCTTAATTATCTCGCAATAGGATGACTTCTGGCATTCCTTTTTCACTGACAGCTCGTTGAACATTGTTTTTTTCAGGATTCACCCATCATCGACTTCTATCCCATAGATTTTAAGATCGACCTCAACGGCAAGAAATATGCCTGGCAAGGTGGGTGCCCTCCACTAGCCAGTCTGTCTACAGCTTTCCATGCCTGCTTGTCAGAGATCCTAATCGACCCCTTTCGAAAGTGTGTCCTCTGCTGGAATCTGGAATCTCTGCGCAAGACACGGCCGATAGTTTGAGCCCGGAGATGGTATTGACTTTATTTTTATCGCCTTACATAGTTTTAAACCTGCGCATTGTCTGGTATCAGCTGTTATGCCATTGTGCTGTTCCACCCTTCTAACAGTCAGCATGTGGCTGCTTCTGGGCATCACCTGCTCTGGGCATCACCTGCTTGCAACAAAAGTAGATACTTCCGAAGAAGCAGTAATGGCTTAATATTTGTTTGGGTCATCAAAGGGCTTTCTACACGAAATGGTATGTTTTGGGCTAGGGCTTTATGAAATAAAATGCTCTAGAAAAGTGTACTGGAAAAGTGTAACGCGTTATATCCCCGGCTAAATTTAGCGAGAAAATGCTTTCTGCTGGTTTTGGGCTTCAATAATATGTAGACAAAGACCCAAGACATATCAAATAATTCCATCTCGCAACCTGTGCACCTTACTCTAATCGTGGACATCAAGCACCGATAATAAAATACATTTTAAAGTAGTTCTCTTCAAGTAGACTTTTTACCTTGTCACCTCAGGAGCAAGTGTTGTTTTTTCTTTGTGTGTCTGCAAGCTTTTTTGGGTGTTAGTTGACCTAGTTGAATTAGTCCGTAGCTCAGTTTTTACGTATATACGATTCTTTCTGGGCCTGGAATGTTTTGTTTTTTCAAATGTGCATATTTTTGTAATACATTTCTGCGAGTTCCGTTGCACACGACCTGGTGTCTAACTCAGTACAGCCTAAGCTCGTTATAAAAGACCTTGATTTTGACCAAGATTTCAGTCTGTTGTAAGAGAAGTATTTTGTATGCAGATATGAAGTTGAGTCAATGGTACATAAAGGAAAACCGACCGAACTTCACAAATTGGTATGTTATATCTATTTGTCTGCCGTAACCAGGTCTGTTGTAATGAGCTTAGACTATAACCACCGCTTTCAAAGCCATCCAGTACTGTATTCTGGCTATGACTGTCTTAGAGGGCCATTTTTCTTGTCTATCTAGAATCCTCGTTGTTCGTTGCTTATAGACAGCTATTGCATAATAAGTTACGGGCATCTGCTCGGAGGCCATCCCACACCACAACATCCATTTCTAGTACCTTGTGACAGGATGCCTGTGAATCAAATTTTCAAATGAGATTTTTACCACAGAATGTGTTTAGGGGTCATTTTCTATGAGAAAACTGTTATGAAAGACCACCTGATAGGACCGTCGTAAAGAACAATCAGGAACGAGTGTCATGAATGTTGACATGCCATTACATGACATTAAGGTTATGCGTCAAGAAACTGAGGAACGGGACGAGACGAGAGCGCATCTCCTCGTCTTCCCCAGTTTCTCCGCGCATATATAAAATATAAAAACATAAAAGGTTAAAAAATATATATTGGTGTGTGTGGGATGGTGCAGGGCAGATTCCGTGCTCTCAAGTCTTTGTCAACGTTATCGAGCTTGCATAATATTCTTTTATCTGGGCCTGAACTTTTGGAACGAATTTGTTACGCAGGAGTGGCGTTGCTTCCATTCGTGGACGAGAGGAGACTGTTGGAGACCGTCAAGACGGTCTATCCGACGCTGACCGAGGACGAAGGTGGGTCCCTCTGCTGTCAGTCGAGCAATCTATCTATCAACAATTTATTTTACGTCAGATGTAGGCTGCAGAGGCAAAAAGTAAAAAAGTTCACCCGACAAGGCCTCGGCAGCCCTAGCAAACACTCTAAAATAGCCGGTCCAGATTACTACTGTTCGCGTTTTTCCCTTGAGCCTCTCACTGCAAAGTTTTCGAGGGAGTAAAGAAACTGGCCAATATTTTTAATCTTGTTATTTGACCAGCAGAATGTCTCGTGATGTTCCACCTAAGCTCGTACAAACGGAATAGCCATACTATTCAAAAAGATTCGCGTTGAATATTGCTTTTGCTCTACATATCCATTGAGGTCTGATGTGATAGCACGCTCGTAAATTGAACTTTACGGTTGCTCGACGCACGTTTACTCTGAAAGCATTAGCGTGAATAGCAGTGGTAGTTGCCTCGAGCCCGTTTCCCAACTACTGCACGTTTCCATCGCGCAGTGAAGCGGAACATAAGGGGCGACGACGTGTTTTACGTCCGCAAGGGGCACCGAGGCTACAGCTACCTCTTGGGACTGTACGAAGCCTGCAAAGATTTTAACAGGGTGAGTACATTTATACCCATGCATTTACGTACATACCTCTAAATCAACGCCAAACTCTCAAGAAACAATTTTTAGCACAACACTTACGTCGCAACACGTGTTTTGAGTTATGAGCAATTACAGAGCATGCCTCACAGTGAAACCGGGTTGATGCGTTCCCGGTTTTGTGTATTCCCAGATTTTGCATTCAGAAGCGCCGGTCGCGCCGAGCTCCCGTAGGAACACGTGTATTCATTTTCTGCCTAGTGCGTTTGCTTTCCTGGTGCTTATGTCCAAGAAGTCGCCAAGATAGCACCACAGCGCTGGCCGATTTAAGCAGTCCGATTCGCAGACAAGTTAGTCGCGTTACGACACGTCCGCGGATCGTCCGCCTTCCAAGCACATTCCCACGGAGGGGGAGATGAGGGACGGCGAGGATCGACTGAAGCACGCACAGCGGCACCGTCGTCCAAGTGCGACGTTTGTCTAACGAAAAGTAATTTTGTGCTTCTTTTATGTGCCGTGCGAGACAGAGCATTGTGATAGGCTTAGTGCAAAGCCCCACTTGCTTTATTAACCCCAGGCATAATGCAAGTGTGGTCCCGATCAAGGAGGGTCAGAATAAAAGCGACGGAATCCCGGGCTTTCGAAGGGGCGTTTGTCCATGTCCTCGTCCCTGTGCACTCGCGCGCAACACTTCAGTACACCGCAGGCACAAAAGATGTCTTGCCCAACCTCATTGGGTCTTCGTCTTGCCTGACGAGAGGCTGGATGAGTGTCCGGGACAGAGTGCGGCATGCGAAACGAGTTTTGACAGAGGCTTCTTGACACTCACCTTAAAGAGTACCAAAACCTGCAGTGCGTCGGCCACTAACAGTTTTGCTAGCTCTCTTCACGCGTGGAACCAAGAATCACACGTAAAACGGAACAAAGGGAAACAATGCGCCATATATTTTTGCTAGTCAAAAAAAAAAAGGGGGTGTGTTGTTGCCAGGCAAAAAGGTTTTCGAGTCAGCCCCCGCCAAAAATATGTGTAAAGCACAGGCCGAAAAAGCCGAGCACCTGTTTAATCGCTGATTTTTTTACTTCACACCACGCTTCAAATACCTTCAGTCTGGCATGAAAAATTATTTTCTTTTTAAAGAGCAATTTCAAGACTTCTCTCCTATAAAGAGAAATTCTTTTAATGCTTTGTTCTGTTTTGGTTAGTTTGCTGGTCCATGTTGTTGCACCGTTCTTGGTTCCTTATGTGAGAGAAGGTGCAAGAACTTTGCCCAACTGACGCGCTGCAGGTTCTGGTATTCCTTTGGGTCTGTGTAAAGGTACATCTGTCAAAACTCGTTTAGCACACCGCAACCTCCTGCACATGCACTACTGTCGAGACCGGTTATAATGAAGACAATGGGAATCGGAAATCACTTTGCTATATCCGCTATTTCGTTTAAACCTAATTCAATTAACGAAGTGCAAAAGGGAATGGGGAAATTGTGATTCCTTCGCTGTAGCCGCTATTTCGTTATAACCGACTTCGTTACAACCGATCTCGACAGTATAGCCTGTCGTCCAGCAAGACCTTTTTGGCAGCTTTGGTGTACTGGAGTGCTGTGCATGACCGCATGGCGACAAACCGACGTCGCTTGCCCACATTTCAGTCACCCAAAGCGCCAGGTGTAAATATCTTACGGGATGTCCTGTACACACGGTTCCATTTAGAAATTCACTGCGTGTCATCAAAACCACCTTAATCAGTTATAGAAAGACTTAAAGCACATGTCAAGGGAGGGGTGTGCACTAAAGTTTCCACTGGTGCAGCAGGCACAAGGCTGGCGATGCAAAAGCGTGTTTTTGCATTGCCAGCCACGGCAATGCAACCGGGCCTTTTAGTGAAGGCTCTCAAAAATTCCTACCGATAGGGTTTATTGGTAGCGATTTTTTTAAGTCTTTGCTGATGCTTCTGATACGTCCTATTCAGGCAGGTAGATAATATATGTTTTAGCGAGTCGAGTGTTCCTTTCAGCGAAGTTCTTCCTTCAGTGATGTTGCCTGCCTTGCAGGAGTTTGACCTGGAACCGAAATACTTTGGCGGTGTGGGTGGGAAGATTCTGCTGAGTCACAGCGCTGTCGGCCCTGGAGAGTGAGTTCATCGTCTTTGCGTTTTCTAGGTTTCCCTCTTTTCTGCCCTTTATGCTTGCAGGTTTTATGGCCTTTGCATCTTGGTGTTTCTTTGGCAGTCCGGAACGGCTTCCAGCGTGGCTAATGTTGTGATGCTGTAGGGGAGGCTCAGTAGCATCTGCTACAGCTACCTTATACGGGGGAATTCTTATAACTCTTGCTCGAAAGTACTACATTGATCCAGTGTTGAAACTTTCGTGAAAGCCAAGAACAACCAAGTTAGAATGAAAGCAATATCACGGGGTTTCAGAGCCACAATTTTTGTACTTTCACAGCAACAATCCTTCTTGTATGCAATGTGAACATATGTTCGCTGCGAGCTAAACTATCGAAGACCACCAGAAATTTCGTCATCTGGGGCCAAAACATTAGGAAAAGACTAGACATCTGTAAGGCATTGAAGAGGGGGACTCTCCCCCCTCTATCAAATACCTTGAGGGCATTTGAAACAAATAAATAAATACATTACGATAGTACAGTGTAGACCGCATATAACGTATGTCGCGGGAGTCGCGAAAATCCGCACTGTAAGCGGTACCGCGCTATAGCCAAAACATCAATTTTTCAGGCCGAAATACATGCCATGAGACAACTTACCTTTGTAAAAGAATTTATTTTATGTTAGATGAAAAATAAAGCTTAGTTTGAGGAAAGTCTTTATTTCACCAGACTAGTACAGTTCTATCTCAAGTGTGTCACAAATTTTGAAAGAAATGAGCGACTTTCGCCTGGCGCAGCCTTGTAGCGGCGTCGCGGGTTGCGGACGGACGTTGCGAGCGTTCAGGATTGCTAACCCTAATCACTTTTCTCCGGTGATATAAACATGTGAAAATTCGCATCCTTTATACGGTACGTGCCAGTAATACCTTCAACTTGAGCACAGGCATGAAATGCTCCAAATAAGAAATCTGGGCGATGTTCGAAAACACAAATGCTTAAAAGTCACCACTGTAGTCGAAGTCACCACTGTAGTCGAAGTAAACAAACACGACGACACGGGCGTTTCTGCCGTCTTGAGAGTGCCGCCACGACATCGCCGCACGAGTAGGTGGATCTTCCCTTCTAGTACGTGCTGGGTTATCATAGCGACACACAACGAAAATTCACAGTCAAGGATAGCGCTTTTACGCGGAACGATGAGCTTCCACCACGCCGTCTACGTCGACGATTACAACCGACGCCATGTTTGCGGATAGAAGCAGCCGGCCCGCGACCGGGATGCAACGCGCGCGAACACTTCTCCTCGACCTGCGATTGGTCGGTCGTTGTGGTTGTTTTCCAAAGCAGCGGAGGGACGCACGCATGTGAACGACACGTGCGTGCGTCCCTCCGTCGCTATGGCAACTGAAGCCTCTCTCTTCGCTTCTCCCCGCTTCTTCGAGCAACCTCCTTGCCATCCTTGCCCCCGCGAGTGCCGCTTGCGGCTAGCGCCATTATCTAGTGTCGCACAGGGTCGGTCGGCGGACTGTTCCAGAAACCGCACTAGAACTGGTATTTCCCTTCGCGCGCCTGCATTTTAAGTGGTATGTAATTACATGGAGTTCTATGGGAGGCGAACCGGTGGTTTAAAAAAACCGCGTTATACCCGGTCCTGCACTATAAGCGGTTACGTTGTAAGTGGTCTATACTGTAGTTGGAATACCTAAAGCGTTAACTTTCCCATGGAGCTGAGTTAGCGGCATCTGTAACTGTGAAAAAACTCAAAAAGAAATGCCCATCCTCCAACTGGCTGAGTGAAATGGCTCCCAGGTAGCCGTTGGCGGCCTCTTCACGAGAGCGCTCGTTCGGCCGCTACTCTTGTGTCGGGCATTGCCGGAGGTACGGGGCTGCGGCCCGGAGAAGGAACATGGCGGCGCCTGAGACGTCCATATCGTCAGCGACCGCAACCTCGGCAGTAGCGAAACGTGGCCGTCCACTCCAGTACACCGCAGACGAACTGAGGGAGCAGAAGAACGACATTCATGCTTTCGCATTCGCTATTCATAAGAAGCGCTTAGGTGTCTTCAAATTTTTGTTTGTTTGTTTGTTACGGCAGTTTGGATGCGAGACAAACTGGCTGTGGGCTGGTACTTTGCAGTTTTGTAAAGAGAAACGACTAAAAACGTTGGACAGGACCTCTTTTTTTTTTAATTTAAACTTAAGATAGTTACCTGCAACGTATTAACTGTTAGCCCTATGAGCAAAGTCAATTTTGTTTAAAAGAGTGGCAAAATGTGAGAAAAACTGGAATGGAGAATTTTTCACTTGGTGGCACATTAGAATTGTTTTTCTCTCAAACCGATTACCTGTTAAAGACAGGCCTGTATATCATAGGAACGGGATATTGACATACTTTTTTCCACACGAACCTGGATACTCTGTTTGATAAATAAATTTGCTAAATCGTCGGTCAAAAAACTTAAATTACAATTCGAAGGAACTCGCGTTTTATTACGCAAGGACCCTCGTAAGCTAGGAATTCTGCCAACTATATTCGAGACCTCAAAATGTCACCGGCTTTCGAAACATTTCTTTATGGAACGTCAAAAGACATTCCCTTTCATACACTACAGTGTTTACACAATCATAAGTCATTTCATTTGTACATTTTTGAAAATCTGAACTCAGGGGGTCGACTTATAATATCGGAACCAAAGGATTCTACTGCCACAAGACCAAAACAGTCGTAATGTTGGGAACACCTCAATTTGCTACAGGTTCAGCCGGCTCTCCGTACAGCATTGTGCTGTTCTGTGCGCTCGTTGTACAATTACTTTTTTTTTTACCTGCGCAAATGAGTATCACAATCCCGGTGATCGCATTTTGCAAATCGGTACGAGTGAACGGCGCGTGTTGGTTCGTTGTGCGCTGTCTTCGGAATGGCAGCAGTTGATCTAAGAGCCATGCCCGAACGACGGCTGGAATGGCCTCAACAGCTCCCCCTCTCTATTGCATGGTCGCACGTCATTTGATTGAGTATCGAAATCGTGCAACCATGCCTGCTTCCTTTGCTCTGCGTTGACACGCTCAGTCCGGGAAGTTTAGGTTTTCGGTGCTCGTTTACGGTCACCCTTCATCCGAGAAAAACCAACAACTGCTCCGCTGGATGCGAATTTGACCCGTTGGAGCGGGCGGTGTGCCAGTGGCGTCTGCAACGGCGCAGGACCTTTTAACCGCGATGGCAGACAAAGAGGCCTCTTTCGGGCCAAAGTCCGGATAGGTCTAGACGCTTTCCGGAGCTAGAGGCCTACCTTGCGACGTATGTAGCGCAAACGCCCGATCAGTTCTTACCCGTAACTTGCGCCACGATCGCCGAGTAAGCGCAGAAGATGCACTTGGCGCGGCCGTTTACGAAATGCGAGATTTTGTCGGACGACGCGACGTGCTCCGGAGGCGTGGCAGCAGCGACGACGGAAATAACGGTGCCAGCGTGGAAGAAAGACAGAGTGAGAACGATGAAGAGGGGCTTCAGTTGTCTCGCCTCGAGCCCGAGCGTCCTAGCTCCGATAACTCTTGGTCACCTCACGGTGCACCTCACACGTGTGTGCATGCGCATGCATGTGCATGCTCAGCCATAGCAGGTCAAAAGGCATCGAGCGGTCGCTGCAGGACGGGCGTCCCAAAGACACGCCGTTCTCGGCTTGTCAGTAACCGTAGCAATTGATAAATATTCGCCGTTTGTTTTGCTTACATGCAATGGGGGAGAGAGGGGGCGGGGGTCAACTTAAAATTGAGTTGACTTCCAATCGTGTAGATACTGTATTTGTATGCTTTAGGCCGAAAATAGAATTTGACGGGATTCGCTTGCGTGAATTGACTTCGCTGGCCGGCAAACTGGCTGATTCCCGGTGTTTTAGTTCTGAAGAGTTTTTTTGCTTTTCCATCTTTTCCAGCGATGTGCAGTCGGTCATACGGGGCCTGGACAACATTCCCGACAACAGTGTTGTCTGGTGAGTGGGCTTGCTGGCATTTTGCACGTTGCGGCGGACTGCAGCGGTGCCTTTCGAAGGGTTTTTGAGCGCGGTGCTTTTTCTTTCCCGCCAACAGCGTCCGTTTCCGGGATCCCAAGTATGGAAACGACTATGTTTTCAAGGCAGAGCGGCTTCCAGGAGCAAAGTGAGTAAATTTTTATGAGTTTTATTTTGGTCGTTGTAGTTTCCTATTAAGGCGTGCCTCCAGTTTCATTTACACCAGTGATCGGCAACCTTTTGTTGCAAAGGGCCAAATCGCCGCAAGACGGAGGCGGAGCGGGTCATTTTGTGGAAATGGAAAATTAAAAGAAATTGTAACATAGTTTCTTCTTTTAGTAAGATTTTGGGTGTTTAATATTGCTTGCCAAGGTGCAAACATTCGCATTTACACTTTTAACCCGGGGTCATAAAACATTGTGGAGGCGCTCATTTGTCATTTGCAAGAACTATGTTTGACTTTAGTCTTCATCTCTAAAAAGTATGTTTGCTGATATATACGTGCTGTAGCAAACACTTTGATCAAGGTTGCTGCAAGACTTTGGAGATTTGAAAGCCTTAAATCAGGGAAGCCAGTGGAAAACTTAAAAAAGTTGTTTGCTACAAATGCATTCTTCAGCTTATTCAATTTTTGAGGATCAGCATGATCAATGATTTATATCTGGCAACGCTCTTGAACTTGTTCAGAGTTAAGCGCCATTCACACACTTGCAACCGATTAAGACTGAAAGAGCCTGTACCGGTTTTTAAGCTGCTTGCAAAGGCGGAGGACCTGATGCGCTGCTGCGGAGCAGGTCCTTTGCCCTTGCAAGAGGCTTAAAAACTGGTCTTGTCTCTCTCCGTTCTGCTTTGTTGCAAGTGTGTGACGGCGCTTTAATGTGCTCTGCACATTAATTGAACATTGAGAACATTGAACATGCACATTGAGAATGAAATCTAAATCTAAATGTGCTATGTACATTTAGATTTATAATTGTTGGGGCCTGCCTCATTGCACACTGGAAAGTCGGGTACGCTTTGGACAGGCTCATAAACGTGACCCTTAGCGCTTTTATGTCCGTGATATGTAGACTCTATGGTGGCATCGTTCCGGTGACGTCTCAGTGTTTGTGCGATGCCATCGCATGACTCTGTGGCACCCTGACCATTCATGGGTGGTAACGTGTTACTGTAACTTCATTACTTTTTTGGTAACTTTCAAGTGTAACATGGTACCTTTTCTATATGTGACTTGTAACCATAGTTCTATTGGTTTTTCTGAAGCGACAACGAAAATAATGACGTTAGTCTTGTTGTTCTTTTCAGTATCTTCGGCATTAAGGTATCGTCGAAGGTGTTTTGACCGTCATGTTCGTCTTGTGCCAACTTGTTTCACCGTGCACTTCCTGTAATAAACTTGAAGGGGGGGGGGGGGGATGCATGTTCAAACTTTTTTTATTTGTATGAAAAAGTAACCTAGGAGTAAAATCGTTACTTTTGAGAGGTAACCAACTAATTATGCAGTAACTGTAACTTTGCTACTTTTATCTGAAAGTAATAACAAATTACTTTTTGAAAGTAACTTACTTAAAACTGATCCTGATGTCACAGGGATGACCTGCGTGACATCATTCCGTGCACTTAAACGACGATACTGGTAATAGTTATATGCACTCAAGTAGAGAGGCTCGCGACAGCGGAAAGACTAAAGGTCCATGCCGGAGGCTTCCAGGATGTGCCAAAGGGACGGGCCGTTCTCGCGCCTTCTAGGCCCCCCGGAGACGTGCCGCAGTTGCCTCTCTCGGCTTCTGCAAAGGGTACCCTCTTTCTCCGTGCTCAGGGACCCCGACCGGGTGCTGAAGCCCGGGGACCTGACCCCGGACCAGAACCGCAACTGGCGGCCGCAGCTGGGCATGGGGCCACGCCGGCAGATGGCTTCCCTCGGCGACTCCGGACACCGCGCACTCGGGTGGGTTGCGCGTCGCGTACGAAGGCCGAAGCGATGTTTCAGCCACCATGCTCCGTCTCGCAGTCCGACCGCAGCCAATGCTACGATCCGACAGAGCCGATCGGGTGACAGCGAAACTGTGCTGTTGCGACGCGGCGAATGCGGCATGATCCTGCTCTTTTGTCTGTTCGTGATTGGTTTTCAGCTGAGGTCGGAGTCGAAGCGTCTGTTGCGCAAAACGTCCAACGATGTACGGAGGCTAGCATCGCGCTCTTGTCTAATTTGCTGGGGTCCTGGCGGGGCTGTTTTCATCTCGTGCCGCAGGCACGCGGTGCGTTCGGCGGGAGGGTACAGCCAGGTGGCACCCCCGCACCAGCAGGACCGTGGCGGGGGCCGGTCCTGGGGCTACGGTGAGTCGGTGTTTTTCCTCAAACCTCTGTTTTGCCCCAAAAGGAAACTCTGAAGCGTCTGGGAAATTCTGGTCCGGTGGACCGAGAATTTCCTCGACGTCTTGGTCCCCGGTTCAGAACTTCCTTAGCGAGGCAAACTGTGCAGTGATGTACTGCAGTGCAGTGACAACCACATACATAGTAGGCGTTGCAATTTCGCATTTCTTGCTTGACCTTAGCGCAGACGAGGTGTAAGGAGAAAGCACTCCTCCAGAGCGGGACCTCGCATTGCTGCTGTACTTACTGAAGATGTTTTCCGCATGGGAGGCGAAACATTTAATGAAATTGGTTTTTATGTTATGTCAACTCAATGTCCTTATTTTAATTACGACGTCTCCCGGCTTTCAGATTATTTTTTCAAGGTTTATGAATATAACTGTGGCGACCCCCTCAAGTATGACAGGAGAGCTGCACAGACACATTTCGAACATACAACTAAGTTCAAGTCGGGATTTCACAGTGTCTTTCTAATACTTAGTGCTCTAAATCATGCATTCCTCGTGTGCCTACTGACTGAAGTCGTCTTCTCACACCCATTGCGGCAATTCTTACTCCTGTTGGTTTTAAAAATGCTGTAACTGGACAGCTAAGGCTTGTTTCGTGATTTTCTTGTCTTTTACTTTTCGTGCATTGTAGTCCCACCCCCCTCTGTACTGCCTCTGAGCCCTGAGGGCACAAATAAATAAAAAGAAAGAGAAAGAAACACACAAGCACCAATGCCTACTCTCTAGGATGAGAGTTGCAAATACTGTAAGACATCCTGTGAAAGGTTGCAATTTCTGTCGAAAGAATCTATTATATGATCCCCAAGTGCCTCGTGGCAAGCGTTGGGCAACGCAATTTTATGGTATATCTTTATAAGCACACACCTCTTCTTGTAAGTTTGACGGTGTTTGTTGGAAGAAGATGTTTCTCTCGATTTTTGTTTTCTTTAGGAGCCTCTAATCAGGGCCAGTGGCAGCAGCCCGGAAGGCAGCAGTCATGGGGGTAAGTCTCGTAAAAATGACTTCTTCCTCGGAATCTTCGTTCCACCCTTCTACAGACGGGGCATGCTTCATAACTCCCGCGACACCATCACTGTCATATGCTTCCGAGATGCGGTAACAGTGAAAATACTGCAATTCAGATAGAGTACATGATTACTATTACCAGTGAATTTCAGTCACTTTTACTGTGCAACACAGCTGAGACGTGACAGAGACTCTGTGTCGGTTGCACCAAACACCAAATTGTGGCGCCTTGTTTGCACGGGAGTGTACGCAAATGAAATGCATGACAAAGCTGAGCGCTCGTTGAACGGTGCGGAGCTGCGCCGACATCAGAACTATGCTAGCTTTAACAGTGTACTGCACAGATATTGACGCCAAGTATAGGGTCCTTGCACGTGACATCAGTTTTGGCTTGAAATACGACAAAATCCATGTTGGCGATCTCTCATCCCATCTTTTTGCTCGTGGAGACGGCATTTCCCAGATTGCTCGAGTTACGTCGGTCAGGGTAGTCCAGAGCATAAAGGAGTGGCAGGGGGCAATCGATCGTTGGACATACCCGCCGTTATTCGTAGCCAAGACGTAGATGGGCAAAATGACCCTGGCAGATGTGTCCAACATAGGAGTAATGACAGCAAGGAGGACCAACACTGCGTTCGAAAACCAGGCACCGGAAACGGAGCGATACTTTGCGGCAACGTCGGTGAAAAGGATGCAAGGACCCTATAAGGCGATTTCACGCGACATACTCGCAGCTCCAAATCTCGCCGGAAGACATGTTGACAAACTTTCTTGCTACGTGCGAGGGCAGTGTTTTGTGGATTGCTCGAATTCTTTCGTATTTTGATTGACTGTGCCAGTCAAGGTGATCGTGCGACATGAGACAGTGCGGGCTGGTACTCGGTGTTTACGTGTACCGGATTTTATTCGGAGTCGAGACGAGCCGGCAATCAAGAATTCGATTCGCAGGCGGCCAAAACGACCCTGGTAGGTGCCGCCGAAACGACTGGGAAAAAAGCGGAGTAGGCGTGGGTGTGTGCGGCCCAAATACATCCCCAGTCACACTTACCTGAGTTCCGTTGACGACGGCGATGCTCACCAAACTTGTGCGTTTCACCGACTCCAGAAACAATGCCGATAACTAGTCATCAGCATTCAGGCTAATGGAGAAGGTGACGGACGCCGTCAATCAACACGATGGAACGTGATTTACCGGAAGGGAACAGGTCATTTGTGAAAACGCCCTTTGTGTGGTCTGTTGCAGGTCCAGAAACGGAGGACAAGCTTTTCTCACAAAGCGCGCCTCCAGTCTTCCCAATTTAGCAGAATGAATGTTGGAGAGGAGGAAATAACATATTGTTGCAAGCAGAGAGCTCTGCGGGGAGTGCTTGTCCCACTAGTCCACACCTGCTACAGATTATACACCATATCTTCGGGACAATAGTGCACACCGGTGGTGTATAGTCCAAACACGGTGCCTAGTTTCCACGTAAAACAATTCTCATATAGGGCATCGACTCTTTGTGTCCCACCAAAATCATCATTAAATTCCTGCCATTCACAAAATTTGTCTCGTCACGATGAATGACCGAGAAAAAAATTAATCCTCGTACGGTCCACACCTGCAGATGGTCTGTACCACATAAAATTTTAACTTTTAAACGTGTATAGTACAGAAAATAGCGGTAGTTCCACCGGATGGCAAATTTGGAAAATAGTTGTTTGCATTTCAGTGCATCCATTCATGTTGAATTTGATACGCTCTTGCTATATGTGCTCTGCCGCTTTTTTTTTCACCAGCTTTTAACAGTGGATTTGGTTTATGAGTCGTTTTCTATGGGAAGGTTTTCACAAACGACTGTCACAGATGACCTGGGTCGGTGCGGTGGCAGTTGGATACTATAGCCACTGAGCTGCGTTGCACAGCTGCTCTAGAAGGGCTGGGGCGAAACGTGCCGGCGAGAGCGACGTGACGTCGTACCACGTGACCACTCGCCGATTTGACGCCTTGCATCGCGCAAGAGGCCAAGAGCCATATGAGGTAGCGTCCTTACGGCGCACTCATTCGTTGGGTCTCGCCCTGGCCATCACCTGTGGTGCAAAACGAACTAACCCCACACAGTGTGGTTTGTACCAGTGTTGTGTGCACCCACGCAGAAAGCGTCGCATGCTGACATGCGGCACGCGGGACGCATTCTGCGGTGCAGTCCTTGTTGACACAATCGAGCGAACGAGAGTTTTCTTCCGTAGGGAAGACGGTAGGCGAAATGGCGCCCGTCTCTTCGATTCTCCTCATTGCAGCGGCCACCAGGGCGGCTACGACTCCAACTACCGGGGCAGCGGCAGGCCCGGAGCCGCGGCCTGGGGCTACCAGGGAGGGCAGCAGGGGCACCACGGAGGGGGCCGGGGGGGGCCACGTCGGGCCCGGTTCGGGCTGGGGTCAGGTGGGTCCCTCCTACGGCCGTTCGCTGCTCAACCGCAGATATGGCGCTCGGAACCCGACCTCGACCGGTGCGTTTACCTTCCCGTCCCGCCCGTGCGTCAAAAGCGGTCTCGAAGGGGCAACAAACGACGTCGCGGGAACCGAAGCCTCGCACCGTTGGTCAAAGTGGTTCTGACAGAAAAATTATGAGCGAACGTCGCAACAGGCATTGTCACGACACGGGTGTAAAGTTGCCAAGGGGGATCGAGGATCCGCTTTTGAGGACGCGGTAAGCGCGCCGGTCAAAGACACGGTCCAGGCACCGTACCCTGTCATACTTTTAAATCTCAAGGAACTCCCCTCTCGCTCGAATGTCAACCGGGATCCCAATCTCGGTATTGGTGCAGTGCGGCGGTGCAGAAGCCTGCCTGCCTCGCCAACGACATTGCACATCCTAGGGAGCGTTTGGCTCGTAGTTATGTACGGGCGAGTATCTTGCCGGGAAAAATAGTATTTAAAGACCCGTGAACAGTTCCTGCTTTCCACTTTTCCCTTCCTTCCTTCTCTCCCCCTTCTACCCCGTCTACCGATGCCTGTTTCCTCCTACCCCATGGTGAGGACGATCTTCTGCCTTGCAGAATCCCGAGTCTGGTTGTCGGCCTTTAAAGCGGAAGAACGCTTTGCTCAGGGGCAGGGACGCTTGAGGAAATTTGGGAGCTCGAGAACCTACGACGGTGCAAGCCGGGTTCCTAGGAACTCGGTTTGAAAGCTTAGGCCGTGGGTCGTTGGGTCGGTGGCATCCCCCCCCCCCCCCATATTTGGGGGTGTTGCCCTTCTCCCATTCAAACTGCGATTGGTTTGTTTCAATAGACCGGTCGCAGAACTCTCCAAAAGACCATGCATAATTATGGGAACTTCCTGTATCAACCTCCTTCTCCCCTAGCATCTACCGGGTGTTTGGGATAAAATAGCACTGCCTTTGTCTCACCTGGAAAATGTATGACGCATTGCAGACGGCATACTTGATAAAAAAAACTGGAGACGATGGACGAAAAAGGGGACAAGCACAAAACGTCGCAACTCTGGGAGACGTGTGTGACAGGTGATACATAAAACGGTTTTCTCAATAAAGTTTAGTAGCTGCATTTGAGACGTTTTGTTTGTCCCCCTTTTTTGTCCGTTTCCTCTCTTTTTTTTTTTTTTTTTCAAATATTTGTAACATCAGCCAGCTTGCGTGTTTACTTATTCTTTCTTCGAGCATTGCACAACCCTTTGCTTTAGTGAAAAGTAGTGCTGGCGCTTGGGACGAGGTGCCAAAGTTTCATAACTTTCCTTTATGCGAATCAAGTTAAAAATGATTTTTTGAAAATTTCTCGTGAAAATTTGGGGTCTGTTTCTAATAGCCCACTACTTTCATACCCATGTACAGTTGAATCCCGCTAAAGCAAATGCTACTTCAACAAGATTTCCTGCACGAATATATATTTCTTTTAATTCTCCATCAATTGCCCTTAGAACAGTGTATATAAAAATTCTCTGCACAAGGAACACATTTTCGAACTCCACTTCGCTTCAACAAAGATTTTTTGTAAGGAAAAACTAAACACTGTTATACAATTAGCGGCGAGATGTTTTGGTGGCGCCCTCCTACGGTTCTCCCTTGTGACGTCATTACCGTGCGAACAACAAGTTCGATGGTGTTAGTAAATAGCACAATGGAAGCTTGAAATCCTTGCACTCTCAAAGGAACACTGCCAAAACCTTCAAAATTAAAGTTCTTTCATTCCTCTTATTTCGTCAATGATAAATCCACTTTCCGACGTCATAGTCAGCGTTCGGCCAATCGTGGAAGGCCGACCACAGCGACGCTTTCGGTCGCGCACGTCGCCAATAGAGAAATAGGAAACCATTTCCCCGTTTTCTATTACGGCTCAGAATATCCTTCTCTCCTCGCCTGGGTGGTTGTGAGCAGCACCACCAGATGTTATGGAAGGCATGAATGCTTTTAAAGTTGTTTTCTGGGTGTGCCACATCATGTAGAACTTGGCACTTGTCAGGCACATAGTTTGGATTTTGATTTCGGGGGGTCTTCCATGGCAGAATGCTGTATGAACGGGAGGGGGGAGAGGAGGCGCCAGCAAAATAGAAGATTTGGGGGGAGGGGGGGGGGGGGGCCCGGGCTCAATATGGCCCCCCCCTAAACACGTGCCTGGCACTTGTGCTATGCATGTTGCTTAGACACTGCTTCGTCACTCACCCTAGGTTCATGCCTCAACGACGGCAGTAACAGTCTTATGAATGCGTTGAAGCAGATCTGGCACGACAATGAAGCCAGTGTTGGTCAAGTCCAGAGCAGGCTCTCCAAGCGAAGCAAGCGCACGCCGTAATACCATAAGAACAAGTCACTTTTTTTTTCTCAGTTACATTTTATGGACGGCAGAGACGTTGTTGGCTAAAGCTACTGGGGCGTATGCCAAAAGGACCTTATCTCGTTGATTTTGTCACAGCGTTCGCCGTGCCGTGTGCCCTCGTCTATATATTGTCACGAATGTCAATTGATCAGGCGACGAAGACTGAAACAAACTAAACGTTTAATGGGCAAACTTGTGCCCAAAACAAAAAAGGAAACAAAAGATAACAATAGAGCGTCGTGGGCGTCGATGGCGGCGCAACAGCAGGATCGAACGCTGGGGCGAGACTAACCCCGGCTTGCCACGCGAAGCACCTTTTGTAGCCGCATAGGTTTCTTGAACATTCGGCCTAGAACGTTCAGCGCGTAGAACATTCTTAGTTCTATCAGACGAGAAAGTTCTAAAATTGGCAGAACGGCAAATGTAAATAAAAGAACATTCCGCTTCCTAGAATCGAACCCAGATCCTCCGTGCGACAGCCAAGCACGGTAACCGTTCGGCCATGTACGCGCTCACTCAGCGACACGCGTGGCAATATGTCCGACTCTGGTTTGGCTCGAGGCAAGCAAAACCAAACGAAGTTCCCGCAAACTAAGAACTTTTCGTGTGTCCCGTCATTTTTGTTGTAGCGCAATCCAACTGTATCTTAGGATTTCGCTGGCATTCGTTGGCAGCCGTTTTTGTCACTCAAAATTCCTGAAAATCGCTTTCAACTTTTCGACCCGATTACGGCAAGTTCCGTAACTTTGGCCTATGGTCCCAACTGCTAGCGCTTTATTAAAGCACAGGCGGAGTGTTTGGTGACGCGTCATTTATTTTTGCACGCAGTCCAGTATATACCATGTGATGATGAGGAGAGCGTGAAAGCGAAGGTAGCGCAATTGCACACTTGTTTTCACCCGCTCCCTTGAGTGGCTTCCGTTGCCTCCTAGGCAGCCTCCGTCGTCTGCTACGGCTGGTTCTTAAAGTCAGTTTCCAGAATTCTTTTTCGGCTCCGTGTGGGTCACCGCATGTCTCGGAACGGGTCTGTTGATGTATAGTTGCATTGCAATTGATTTGACCTTGACAGAGCTTTGAAACTAGGTCAGATTATCTGAAGAGGGAATTACAGCTTACGATTGCAAGCAAAGATTGAATTACAAAAATGACCTGTTTGCACTTGAAACTCGATTTTAAAAAAACATTTTACAACAAAAAAAGGGCAGGGGGAGGGGGGGGCCAAACATAGGTAAGCATTGTTGTTAGCTCGCATCCGACGAACAGATTTTGCGACTCGTTCCAAGTTCAGGCTTACATTCAGAATACACTGCAGCCCAAGCAGGAAATGAAGCTCTTTTGCATTGCTGGACTGCGCAAAGATTTGTTGTCGTTTTCTTTGTTGTTTTTCTTGTTTTGTTTTTAATGCGCCTAATGGGCAGTGTATTGCAAAGTCGTCTTGAATTTCCGCACATGTGATCCCTTCTTTCTCGAAGGCAACGGTAGACTGCAGTCTATTTTAGCTTGCGAGAGCAATTATCTCAACAAAGTTGACAACAGTCTGAACCAAACGTGGCCATTGTCGGCAGAGCACACCATTTTTCCAGAGATGACGACTGAGGGATGTCTTTTTGTGGCGCAAACTCAAGCTGCATGCCCTGGCCATCCTAGAAACCCCAGAATTACAATCGGGAGGTTTCTTGGTTAAAACGGCAACCAAATATTGCGACACACCTTTTTTTTTTCTTGGGGTATATATATTGCCACGCGTGTTGGCGAGCAAGCGCATGCGTGGCCGTGTGGTTGTTGCGCTTGACTGTCGCGCTGAAGGTGTAGGTTCGATTCCAGTTAGCGGACTCCTCTTTTATTTATTCTTTCAACTTGGCCTTCTCGTAAGTTCGAGAACATTCTCGTCTGATCGAGTTCTGAACGTTCTGCGCACCGAAAGTTCAACGCCGAACAATCCAGAAACCCACGAGGGTGCATGAGGGATTCCGCAAGGCGAACAGGGTCAGTCTCGCCCCAGCGTTCGACTCTGCTGCAATGCCGACTTTGACGCTCGCGACGCTCTGCTGTTATCTTTTGTCTCCTTTTTATATTCTGTTGGGCACAAGTTCGCCCCATTGAGCGTTCAGTTTACTCAGTTATTCGCCACCTCATCACTTGTCATTCGTGACAATATCAGGAAAGGGGCATCATGCAATGTTTGGTCCCGTCTTTAATAGGGGAGAAAGGTTGCAAACGATTGTATTTTGGGGTTTTCTAGAATGCTCGGGGCTCATAAATCGTGTTTGCAGCACAAAAAGACAATTTCAAAATCCGCTTGACTGTCTTTTTAGAAACAGTATATTTAGGGATAAAACAGGACAAGAAAATTCAAACTGCAAAGATCCGTTTTCAAATTGTTTTATGGTTCTTTTTTAAAACCAGGAAAAAGGACTGCTCTCATCTCCTACCTAATCTTTGGTGTCCTCTTCTTTCATCTCTTCATTTTTGATATCTTCATGTTTGACCTATCAATATCTCATCTCTTAACATTTGATCTCTTCTTTGTTCTCTTTATCTTTAGCTCTGATCTAATCATCTTTTATCTCTTCAATCTCTTCATCTTTGGTCACTTAAAGGGGTACTAAAGTGGATCTTGAAATCACCTTTCTATAATGCAAGCTCAACCTACACTCTCTAAGCTTTCTAGAAAACCAGGATTTACAATCATGCATGTTTTTTGTTTTTTTTTTCTTTATTGCAAAACACTTGATCAAATATTATAAAATCCTTTTGACCTAAGCATCTAAACCTCAAACTACAAGTATGCATGCCTCTTCTTTAAAACACGACCAAACATCTCCCTTTGCCCTAAGCGTCCCAGAAACCCAAATTTACAATCGTGCGGCAATTTTTCCTTATAAAAATGTGGGCAAACATCGCGACATGCCCCCTTGTGAGATTAATCCAATAAAAGAGGCATGCTGCGATGTATGGTTGCGTTTTTAACGGGAAGAAAAGGGCATGCATTATTTTGAATTTAGGGCTTCTAGGGAACTTATTACGTGTAGGTTGAGTTCGTGCCATAAAAGGGTGATCTCCAAATCCACTTCAGCAACCCTTCAGTCATTGACATTTCAATATTTGATGTCTTAATCCTGGATCTCCACCCGCCTTGCAGGGCTCTCAGATCCCACGTTCGTTGCCTCCACCCCCACAGGAACACCGGCAGCAGGACTACCGGCAACACAACCGGCATCCGACCTGGTAGCTGGCCGAATCAGCGGAAGACGAAGAGTTTGCACCCTACCATACTGGCTGTTAATTCATGTCCACACCAATAAAGGAACAACAGAGATGAATTTTAACGCTTCATCCACAAACTGTCCGAGTCCTTCATTCATTCGGAGCAGAACCAACAGGTTAAAGTAAACCCAGGTGACTCTCAGGGTGGTTTTTGTTTTCTTGCAAGCCACAAGTGTTGGAGTTTGGTTTTCAGCTCACAGTTTGACATGTTCTTTTAGTGCTGCTTCCCCTCTGGCTTTTAGTGCTCCCTATGTAGTATTTGTGTGTTTCATGCAGACTTGTGTGTAACTCAATCACTCTACTCAAATTACTCTAGTTTAACAACTACTATGGTTGTATACATTTTTAGCTTCAGGTACATTTCTTGCATCTCCAGATATCTGAAAATTAGGGATGCCACCTTGATTCAACTGCACTCTACTTGGCTGAAGAAGTTTCAATTCGGCTTACTTTTCGGTTTGTCTGAACGTGCCAGTTCAACTTCGTTTTTAGTTTGGCTCCAGCATCTCACTTTGGTCGTAGACTGAATAACTTCTTTAGCAGTTCAGTTGAGCTGCGAGTTTCAGCTCGGCTTTTTCGCGGTCAGAGTTGTTGGAAGGCTGAAGAATGCCCGCACATTGTTTTACCAAGATATTCCGTGATAGATGGAGGTTAAAACCTCTGATATGTTTTCAAGGGACTTCGGTTAAGATATGTAGGATCTGGAGAACTGAAGCAACCAATAGTGCTTTAGGGGCAGCTGTAAATTGAAGGCAAACCAGTCCATTTCAAGTGAATTTCATGGCTGCACAGAACTGGCGTATGTATTCAAATATATGTCGACATTTTGTTTTTCTGGACGTTATGTTATGGCTGGTTGCTTCCATGAACAGCCATACTTCACGATTGGTTCACTGAGTTACTTGTCACATTGAGTATGGTGAACACCTACCCCTGTGGCCAGTGTTGGGAAGTTCTTTAAGTACCTTGTACTTAAAGTACTACTTCAAGTAGGTTTAGGAAACTTGTACTTTACTTGAAGTACATTCTCTGAGTATGTACTTTACTTAACGTATTTTTTCTGTTACTTTCCAAGGAAAGTACAATTTCCGCCCTCAGAGTACATTCCACAAATTTGGTTATGTTAAATTTGTATCACGAAATGATGCTTTATCAACTCTGGAGAAATACTGGGAGTGATATTCTACTCACCAGAGGCGTAAGCAGACGATGCATCGCTCCGCTTGTTTTAGGGGCGGCTTCCCCGTAGCTTTTTGAACTCTGGCTACTTCTCGGTCGGTCAGCGCAAGCGAGGAGGTTTAAAATATTAGGAGAGCAAAATTAATCATAATCTGGCACCTGAAAGTGTGGTGCGGAACAATTAAACTGTTAAGTCGAAGAAAAAGACAACAGAGGATTACATCACAATGCTTTGAGACATTCTTTTCCTTTTCCTTCGACTTGAAAGTTCCTCAATTTTTCTTTTCACCCCAATCTCAGGTGTCACATTATGATTAATTATCACCGGCTCACTTTCACACTCACTGTTTTTTGTTTGTTTTTTTCTATAAAGAGAGGACTCTCCTCTCTGAGAGGATTGCTTGCGGAAGCTACGGGGCTGACGTCATGCTCTCTGCTAGTACATTTAGCATCCTTGGGTGCAACAATCCAGTGCAAGTGACGCCAAATTCAGAAGAGGGACTTCTGAATTTGGCTCCATTCCTGAAAATCCCTACTCTGTGGCCACTTGACTTTATCAAATATTTGCCGCTGTTTTTGAAAATAGATCATGCACCCCTGATTCCCTCTGGGTAATGCATACGGGTTAAAAATCACTGTATAGGGGAATTAAAGGACATCATGAAAGATTGTGTTAAAATACTTGTACTTTACTTTTAAAGTACATTGTATTTATAGTTTTTTACTTCAAGTACATTGCACCCAGTGTACTTACTACTTAAAGCACATCACGTCTCATTTACTTTGTACTTTACTTGAAGTACCTTTTAGATGTACTTTCTCTGTGGCTCTCGTTTCATCCAGTCACTGTGAACGCGGCCAACAGCATTGGGGGAAGGGCGACCATAGGTCCTGTTCTGGAGGTTTGTTGCTTCCTTATTCCCCTCATTTTGTCTGAATGAAGCACCACAACCCTTTTTCGTGGAATTATGAATAATGGCACATTTGTAGTAAGCGAGTGAAAGAAAACCAAACAATTTTTACTTGCTGCAGAAGTAATATAAATATAAACATGAAAATGTTATCCGCCTGTAGACTAATTTTAGCTCTTTCTGGTTGTGTCTGCCAATGTTACTAGAGGGGGTCTAGTATGGGAACTCGAGCGGCATTCAAGACTCCTTTTTTGCACGTCGGGGCGCAGTCGCGTGACCGCCTTCCCCACCACGGATCGCTTTTTAATGCGAAAGCATTAACTGTCTCATAGAGCGAGCTGACGTCATCAGTTTGAAGTGCAAAAACGGCTCCTAGTTTCCGCCGCGAGCGATTCGCCTTCGGTTCTATTGGCTATACTCCGTTTCACCTTATGTTGTACCGCGGCGAAGGCTAGAAGCGCGAGCTCATAGCGTTGGCAGCTGCCCTTGGTGCACGAGAGCTTGTGCCGCCGAGCTGTGCCATAGAGCAAGGAGGAGCTCGCGCTTGTAGCCTTTCCTGCGGTACAAGACGGGGCTCCCATTGGCCGCTGCGCCATGGTGTGATGATGTGAACGGGACATAGAAGAAAAGGAAGACAACATCGGCAGATGTGACCCTTTCCCCCCCACCTAATCTGAGGCCTTCAGGCCAGAAGGCGGCATCACCCAATAAACGTTTTTACTACTACTACTATGACGGCTCAGGCGAGCTCGTGCAGTCCGGTTTTGGGGTTTGGACCCGTGAGTTGGACACAGAAGAAACGAAGTACGGCTCAACGCCGTGGGCCCCAGCAGCCAAGTAACGTCCCGGACGGGCGTCTGGGGCCCGTGGGGGCACCAACCAGGCTTGCCGGGGAACCACCGCGGGCACCGAACATCGAGCCCTCGTCATCCGGAAAACGCCTAGGCCATCCGAGGTTCCGACAACACTAGAAGTGCGGCGGCGAGTGAGCAGAACACCCCAGACTTGACGTTGGGTATATATTTTTCGCAGTTACAATAACGTTATTATTCCGATTCTTTTCAAACAATATATTTTTCCTCATATCCACCGTGTCCGAATCCCGAGTCCATACTTCTTACCATCACGGATGGCGAGATCCCGAAGCACGCGCGCGCTAGTACGCAGCAGACGACAAAAAGGGCGGACGAGTGGCTTGCATAACACTGTAGCTTGCATGCTTTCGCATTCACAACTCATAAGAAATGCTTAGGTGTACCTCGTGTACCTAGAGATTTTTATTTTGGTAGTGACTATTTCGGACGTCATCTTTCAAAATAATTTAAATGCTATTTTGACGTCCGTGACGCCTCACCTAAAGTCGTGAAACTATTTTCAAAGTTGTTTCGACGTCCACCGTCAAAATATTTTGTTTATATCCTTAACTTGACATCTCGAACTTTGGAGCTTTGGATTGGATAGTGAAGGGCCAAACTTTTGCTGAATCAAAAATTCGGCACCAAATCTTGGGGTTCGTAAGAGCCGAACTTTTCTAAGGATTCGCCCAAAATATTGTCGCGGAGTTAACGTTGATTATAGTTCTTTTCTGGCGAGAAAGGTTTTATGTTTTGTTGTTTTTTCTTAACTAAAATGTAAGCTATGTAATGCATAGGTGACATTCTACAAGATACCTGTATGCCTGTATCGGTGTCGTTTTTGTGTGTTTGCTGGCAATTTCACAGTGACTTCTTGCAGAAGTGGCGTGACAACGAGCTTCGGTAGTACCGGGCGCAGTCACGAATCACGCTACGAGAATTTCGGTTTTGATGCCTCATCAGCGCAAGTGTGTGTACATTGCAACGAGGTAGAGGGGCTTAGAGCGATAAACCGGGGTTCCGGTCTGCACTCGAAAGTGACCCCCATAAGGCGGCTGCCATTGTACGCAAATTTGACCACACGTCACATGACCATACCAAATACTGACGTCACAGGAAAGATGGCAGCGCCCATGCAGCGGCTGGCCCCAGCTGGGCCGGAGCTTGTCGGATGCTTTGTTGGTTGTCGTTCGTCTCGGCGAGTTGATTTCAGACGCGGAAGCCGTCATATGAAGCCGGTCGAAAGCGAGTTCAGAGTTCAGCGTGGTGTTTGACGTAGGTATAACGTGAACATACGGAGGAACGGTGTGCATTTCGCTGGTGACCGACCGGGATATTGCCACGGAAGAGACAATCTGACCTACGTTGCTCGGACCTCGGATTGATTCGGATACCGCTAGGATAAAATTTAAGGCGACGTTTCTGTGCTCTCGTTGACCATCGGAATCTTCGAGGTTTGCAGTGAAGCGTGTGCAATATATTTGGATACACAGTTTAGCGACGGAAGTTGCGTGAGTCGTGCTTGGCGGTGTGCAATCGTGGTGCAGCTTCGATCAAATGACCGAGGGCTCACTTCGGTTGTGCGGCGCACCGGAAGGCTGCCTTGAGGCTGCCAGTTCCCGTGCCGTGCTGAATGATGCTGTGCTGCTTACAAATTGTTCCGGCGCACCGAAGAGCTGCCTTCAAGCTGGTAGTTCCTGTGCCATGCTTTAGGTGATGCTGTGCTGCTTCCGAAATTGTTCCGGCGTAGACGTGCACTTTCACGGAGCACAGGTGTTGCAGTTGGTATTGATCCCGCTGGTCTGTCGCACGTTTCGTCAACACAAACGTTTCATCCACACTCGTTACGCGAATTGCAAGCTGTCCGGACATTTTATCGAGCATGTTACGTGCCCAGCTCACGCCGCTTTGTGGCAACAGTCTGCAGTGGCTCATTACCAGAAAAGTGGCCCCACATCCATTTCAGTTCAGTTCACCCACGGCACTCGCCAAACCCCGAAGGAGAGGATTTATTCGGACAGAATGCCACTAAAGCAATGCAGCTTCTTCAGTGGTCAGGGTAGATTCTCTTCTGCGAGTTTTGTTATACTGTCACGGATCCTTGTTCACTATTCACTATTCTGGGACAC